TAGCATCGACGAAGGCCTGCTTGTCCGAGGCAGAGTAGTTGTCCCACTCGTAGCGGATGGCCGGGTTGGCGCAGTCACCGTTGGCGGCGGTGCTGGCGACGCTCGCGGTGCTCATCTTCTCGTCGTTGGCACCGCCGCCGAAGACATCCTGGAGGATCTCCTTGGCCTTGGTCGAGATCGGCAGAGCGCCGAAGTTAGTTCCGAGGAGATCGATCTTGGCAATAGCATCCTCGATGGAAATCGAATGGACCTGTCCGAAAGTGTCGAGCGGTAGACCTTGCTGGACGGACGGGATCGACGCGGCCGATACGGCAGATACAAAAAGAGCGACAGAGACCTTCATGGTTGCGAATAGTAACCGTATATATCTACAATATACACGACGACTATAGGAAATATAACGAGTGACAGACGATCGAGACCGTTAAGGAAGCAGAGCCTAAGCCAAGCTGCCATTGAGGCGCCTACCAGGTTATATACCCTCTTCGGCCACTCGACCAGTTGCGGGTCCATTCATAGTCTTCTAGAGCCCTTTGTGGAGTGAGTTACCGACTACGACGTAGTATGGTGCATGTAGGTATGGATGAGAAAGCCTACACATCGTACCCCGGTCCTATGGAATTCGGGAATTAGCCGTGCACGCTTCTATACCTACCCTTGGGTTGAGAGTCATTGCGGTCAGAGGTGGTACGTTTAGATGCCGAACTGGCGTGTAACTATTACTTCATCTAGGTAATACGGCATCTTGTCGTTTGACCACGCGGTGCGAGAGAGAGTCAGGAGCTGACTGTGCTGTGCCAGCATACGAGATTAACTATCGTTGTGGCGCAGACTAAGGGGATGCTAGCGGATATTTCGCACAGAAAAACAGGGGGAAGTCTGATCCTAACTTGGATCGAATATCATAACCTTACAAAGTAAGCTTGTCGGTATGTACGAATTGGGGAGCTGACAGCCTGTCGACAACGGTGTCTAGCCCTACTCTTAGCCAATTAGGAAGTATGCCCATCAAGGAGATGCAGGGCTGGGCTTCCTTAGCGGCTCCGCTGGCCACGATGGGACCCGGCTTCGTCACATTTTGGATACGAGGGACTAACCTTCTCAAGATGGCGCCTGCATGTTGTGGAGGGGTTTCTAGCCCGCTTGTTGGGTAAAAGGAGATAATGCCATGCTGTCTGAGATCTACTCAGCGGCATGTCTCTGATAGTGCATAGATAAAGGTCGATATGATGATATGACGATGCTGTCGTTGTTGACTTAGTATTGTGACTTGGTAGACTCTAAGTGACGACTCTACATAAGTGACGAGTTATCCAACCGTTCTGGAGATAACGTGACAATCTGAAGCCGAAAATAGCTCAGGGGCTTGACGTGGTAGTTTTGATACATAGATACCTTCCTGAAATTACCACAACAGCGTTTAGGTATTGGATATGAGAGCCGGTTATATGTAACCCCGAACCCCCCGTTGTTCAGGACCTGGAAGCCAGGCAGCCAACCAGAAGATGGGATGTTTTCATGGGTTCAGGTTAAGAGATCTTAACTGGGTTAGCATGCCGTGTCTATATTTTAAAGCCATGCCCAGCCCCGGTCTGCCAGTCTGACAGTCTAAGAAAAACCCGAGAACCCAAGAACCCAAGAGAAAACTGTTATTAGTAGTTCTTTTAATGTGCATGATGTGAGCTGATTGCAGAATTCGAGGCTTCGTATCGAACGGCAATTTCCTCTTAACTGCTTAGGTAGGCTACAAAAGTACCTAATAGAGCCCTCTAAGAGAAGGGCGGTAAATGGAAAGTCCGCAAGCTCTCGGGAATTCGATGGTGTTTAGTTCGGCCCCTCCCTCCCCTATTGTCGGGACCGCTTCCCAAGACCCAAAACTCCTATTTTAAAATGTATGCAATGTATGGATGTATGTACGGATGTATGTAGGTATGGATGTATTGGCAGATGAGAAAGCGTGGGAACCGCCGATGACGCGCATCGTATTAGGCGCTGCATAAACAAACACAAAAATTATTGTCCAGTTTAATCCAAGCAGTTCCAGTTTTACTTTTACCCCTTATCTAGGTAGGTAGGTACTCATATAAAACGAATAAAAGGAGTTTTCCCACATTTCTTTTACTTGGTAAAGTAGGTAATTAGATTTTCGTGGCGGTGCAATCGGATCGTCGGCGAATTAAACGAATTAAACGAATTAAACGCGTACAAAATACCTGTGTACCTAAGGCAAGCGAGAAGCAATATTAAAGGGTGCTCGCATATTCATCCTTGTGGCCTTTACGGATTTATTGATTTAGAAGTGCCTTTTAGGGGATGGCGCACTATATTTGGATATTCTAGGAAGCAATAAGGCTGGGGGGGGGAAAGCTTGATCTGCATATGCTCTTGCTTATCTGGGGTACCGATTAAAGGTACCGATTAAAGGTACCGATTAAAGGTACCGATTAAAGGTACCGATTAAAGGTACCGATAGATATCCATGCAGTTGCACTTACAGAGTGCAGACGGATTGCGTATCTTTGCGTATCTTTGCGTTAGGTACTTATGCTTCTAACAGCATACGGTAGCTATATTCATTCATGGGGGGTACCCATATTTTCAGTAGGCTATCTCAGCCAACCGCTCATTTCTCATTTCGACTTGTATACAACTCTTATACGAATATACGAATTCTACGACTTGTCAGATAAAATGTTAGTCGAAATGTGTTGCCTCGCACATCCCGTACTAATCTCCATACTTTGCTTTATTCAAGTCAATTAGGAACGAAACATCCGGTTCCCGTGAATAAGAAAGAAGGAAATAAATACATAAAAAAGTAAACGAGAGCTTCAAACTCCATCAGCCATGTATTTCCCCGGCGCTTTGCCTTGGAATAATAATTTTGGCAGCAGACAACAATAGGCGAAGTCTTCGGAATATTGACATACTGCAGATAGAAAATGCGTCTAGCGACCACGACCTCCATATTTCTAAAAACGTACACTGACGAATGTTGTATTGCGCTGATGCTCAGCGAATATTGACGTGAACCCCAGACTTTGGGTCCCTCGAACCAAAGTCGAGAGGTTACAAAGTTGCTACGGCTGTCGGCAATTATCTTTCCACTGTGTTGCGGGAGGCGATCAATTAGGTCCGGTTCCGTGAGGTTGGCACCGCTGGACTTTATGGACCTGCAGGACGCAATGTCGATCTCCAGCATAGAATTCCGAATTCTCGCCAATTACGCTTAACATATTTACGAGCCATTACGAGCCATTACGAGCTAGAATTATTCTTTGCACAATTCTATATCTCCACATCTCTTACGTCTCTACGTCTACGGAGAATCCGAGTCTTCGAATCCCGGAGAATCAAGTTCTTTCACCGTCTAAATAGACCAAGCCAATATCACATAACATAGAACGGGTTCTCACGTCTTCCAAGATTAGTGGCGGCCTCGCTCTGCAGTCCAGACTTGCTTGGCTTCAACAGCCTCTCGATCTCAAGCCTATTCCAAGTCGATTCCAAGTCGATTTTGAAAGCTGCATTAGTGTTTAGTTCGAGAATGCCCATTTTCGGGATCTTGACTGTAAATAAATGCAAACCTGAGCAGCGGATACGCTCCGGGCCCTGTGGGTTTCAGCCTCAGTGGATAGATTTGCCGTGGGGGCGCAGGTCTTTAAAAGACCGCCGGGACGGTGAAAGCAGGGGTTGGGCTCCGGAGCCCGAGCCCCCCTTTCCCGTCTCTTCTCTCCCTTTCCTTTCCAATCCACTCTAACCCACCCTCCTTCATCGCTGCTTGCTCCCTATTCCGTTGCTGCATCAATCGAGGGCTACCCTCTATGGTACCTAGTTAGTTGACTTGGTATGCTCCGTGGGTATGATATCTCTTCCCGATCAAGTGCACATAGCCGTATGAGAAGTGATCTCAGTTCTCTTTGCTATTATGTATGCGCTACCCCTACGCTACCCCTACGCTACCCCTATAGGCTGTTAATTCGGAGACGTATACACTATTCCCGCATGTTTCAAGGCCGGTCCGCCCAGCCGCTGCTTGATGCTTGATGCTTGATGCTTGATACGGCTTCAAAAGCCAAGACCCTCGTTCACAACCTCCATTCTTCTTTTTTTCTTCACTAGCAAGCCCGGGGCGGGATTACAATTAAAACCCGCAAACCGATTGCTCAGTCTCGCGAAGCACTAATATGCATATGTATGTACACAACCCGAACTATTGGACGATCTGCAATATCAAATACCCCAAAGGGTGTCGATCTCCCGGAGCCTCAAAAAGGAATACATACCTACCTACAGTATCTAATCGCCTCCTACAATACAAGCATTCGGTGCTTTACAGGAGTTGGCTATGACATCGATATCGCCCCGATGTCTCGGCGCTTAGTGAATCACGGATACTGTAGACCGAATAGGTATATTGGGAGGTATATTGAGCTAGAAAACAACGGCACAGGTCGATACCAGCATACCTAAAGCACAATATCGAATTATCAAGCCTATAGCCGTCGCCAAATATTGACAAGTGCATAAAGCGGCGGCATAGCTTATTATCACTTTCTTCCGTGTCAACACGGTGCAACTTGGGCTTGCAGGCAGAATCGAACTCGGCCATGCAGGTTCAACTTGAAGCGCAAGCGCGTTTCTGACGAGTCGGCAGCGCTCCCTACGCGTCTCCCTCCTCGTTTTTTTTTTATCCATCACTTTAGAGGGGTCTGCTATGATACCCGATGGTAGGCCCGAGTACCCTCGTGGTGGTTGGAATGGTACTACCTGATACATTCTTTCCGCTATACGGAAGAGATTCCATGCCTCTTCCCTCTCTGCTGTTTGTTCTGCCACCCCTCGCTGGCTTGGGTGGATAGGTGTAGCCACATTGTGATTGATATTCTGGCCCTTGTTGTTACACTTGCCGAGTAGAATGCAAGATAATGCTGCATCACCCAATTTACTTCTTCTCGCTCCCGCCACCAATGTACGGATGTGGGACTTTCACCTCTACTATGACAGCTCCCGATAAGTCCGTTTGTCTTCCCGTACCATAGTTGTTTTTTATCCAGTGCCTAGTTGCATTCCGTTTCCCTAGTCTCTGACGTAGCGTACCGTTCGACTGGAACAGCATGAATAAGAACTAAAATGCAAGACGTATCTCACTCACACACAAGGTATTTGAAGTCTCCCTTGCTGTTATGCATTCTGCACAAACATTACCCTGCTCTGTCTCCTAGGTGTTTTCGGGCTTAGACGCGAGTCAAGGAGTTGTGCTAATCTTTGATAAATACGGCCATCCCTATGGCTGGATGATTGACTTACATTCTAACCTCCGGCCTATCTTTTTTCTTCGTTGTATTATTTACTAATCCTGCCCTCGACTGCCAGGATCTGCAGACCAATGTTCTGCTCTTTCGACGTATGCTTGTCTTAAGATCACACCAACTTCCTCTCGACATTGCTCTATAAACTGTGAATATCCGTCATAGGGACTCAAAGTTGTATTCTGATCGTGATCGATCTTTTAGAGCAGTTGAGATCATGGAGCTCGCCAACCACTCATATCAAGAAGGAGCTGTAGTTGATGGAGGGGATCACTCGCCAGATGTCACAATACCAAGGCTGCCAAGAAGGTCGAGCCTTACGAACACCTTCTCCTATCCTATACTGGATGAGCATGAGCACCTACGTCGCCATGAGTCAGATAATAGACGATCATCACTGACGTCGAATGGCTCTATGCCAGGAATGACAGACTCATCCGACTCGGAGACTTCATTCGACGAGGATTATAACACATCAGCTAGTGAACTCTGGGATAGCTTTTGGCCCGATAGTGTAGCTGGTCCTGGAGAACAATATCCCGTGCTTCTGCGAGCGTCACAGACGCCGCATTGCCTACCTAAGGGTTTTTCGAAACGCGAATCTAATGAGACGGGTGAGACGGATGATACAATTGCTGTATCAAAGCCAGAGGCATCCTCCCAGAAGGTTACAGGTTCATGCGAGACTTCTGCCACTCAGACGTCGCCTCCACGTCCGGTGACGAGAAATGGCTCGCCCACGTATTCCATCTATCCCAAGCAGAAGCCGAATAGTATTTTGCGACATCCACTCCCTCCACGAACTTCATCGCTAGTTGCAGCTCCTCTTTCATCTCCTCGGCGGCAATTTCTAAAACCAGCCAAGTCGATTGTGAACCTCAAGCCTAGCAAATCGCACCACAACCTCCAACCTAATCACGCTATTCCTCCTATATCTAGGATGCCGATGGCACCTGCGTCTGCAAATTCTGTTCCTGTATCACCAATTTACCCCCCACCTTCGCCCCCAAGGGCTCTGCGCCCGACGTCTTCAGCTTTCAGCCTGCGCGATAAAAACAGCTCGTTCAGCCGCGTGCAGCACAATTCAGCGATGCCCTTATCGCCTCTTAGCTCACCAGCAATGACGCCAACGACGGAATTTCAACCTGCTTCGCGGCCAGAAGTTGAACCTTACATTTCAGTGTTTGAGTTTGATTCAGATCACGAGTCGTACATGGGGAGCAACAGTTTTACGAAGCGCATTGCCCGTGGGTTCCACAAGAAGAGTGCGAGCGAGAAACGCAGTAGTGGACGACGCGGGAGCGAAGACTCGGAAGCCCACGGCTCGGACAAAGAGAAGCGCAAACGTGGAGGTAGCTTGGGTCGCATTTTAGGACTAAAGAGTCGCTAAGCATTTTTCATACACATCAAAGCAGAAAAACGCCAACATCACTGTATCACCTACTTATGTTTCCCCCCCTTTTTTTGTATCCATCTAGAGGTTATCCGGGAACAGTCTGCCTGCTTTTTCAATGCTCTACACGAGCTTTTTAAACGTCATTTTCTTTGTTATTATCACACTTCCCGACTTCTACGAACTCGTACGAGGATGTTCACGAAGCACACAGCGGCCGATGAGATGAAAGGCGCATACGACCAACACGCCAAAAGTGGTACGAGAGGGGTATGAGAGGTACGATACTGGAGACTACGAATCTTGTCACGTTACATATGTTGATTAGAGCATACAACTCGCTCGGGCGAGGGGGCGCAAAAAAAGGGGGGTAAAGGAAAACAGCACACGGGGGGTTTGTACGATCCCTCACTTCCGGTATCGCTACGATAATGACCACGATGGCGACAGCGATGAAAAAAGGGGTACGACGGTGATCACGAGGGCGTTTCCACATTCAATATCATTCAAAACTCAAGTCTAGTGATTCCATTTCATTTCTATCTAATCCACACGATCAACGAAGCTCTCTCTCTCTCTCTCTCTCCTTGTTTACTTGCATTCCATTATTATTACTCTGTGTACAATACTACCACTTTTATTTTTCTAAACCATGTGGGATGTCTGAGACATCAAATTTACCTTACTTTACCTACTACGTAACCTAGGTAGTTTACATATAAACAAGCATCACGTACATGCTATGCTAATTTACCGCTTTGTCTGATTACGAGCTTGTCCGAGGTTATATTTAGGTTGGGAATATTGCAGTAATTAGTCCCGTCCTGTTGGATAGACAGACCTGCCAGACAAGACATACATATGTCGGTAGCCAATGGTCTCTGCATTGCCGTTTTCCCCGGATAAACGGCTTGCTGCTTGCTTTACTGTGTAGGTACCTAGGTAGTTCAAGTAAATCAGTATTCTAGAATTTCGATAATCTGTAAATGGTGCATATAACTAACCTAGTTCGTAGAGTATCTAATATATATATTTGTCTTGTTGCTAAAGTAAATATTTACTTGCCCAGCCTATCATCGTCTCCTTCCTATAAATTCATCATTTCTTTATGCCAGGTAAGGTACCTAGGTAGGTACCTATTTATTAAAACACCCGTTTCGCCGTCATCAACCGCATAATACCAAGATCGATACCGACGTAGTGGCAAGTAAACAACGACCCGAAATTGGAATTTACACAGCTACCCACCCACAATCGCTCGATCACGAGCCGATGAACCGCACCGTTGGATTTTCGCTGGTGCGCCGGGACCAGCCTGCATTTTTTCCTCTCTTTCGTTTTCGTTTTCTCTTCCTCTCCCTTGTTTGAACCTCCCTCCCTACCTACCTACCTAGGTAGGTATTGCCGGGGTAACTTGACGGGGCCTGTCTATTTGTCCGTGTTGATAGTCGTACTAACGGGTACGATGTTATTTACCAACTAGGTGTCTGGTATGGGGTTTATTGGTTTATGTATATCATGCCTGCACCCAATATATATACCTATCTACCATCAACTGGCTATATAACCTAATATGTCTAATCCGCTTACTCTTGCATAGCCACATGGAGAGGCGTATATACATGTGTTAGGTTGGTTATTTATAGTTTACCTATGCTTAGACCGAGATCATATAGATACTATTGCGCTATCGTCGTGGACAACGGCGCTATATCCACTAACCTAGCTAGTTGGTGAACCGCGATGGTTATGTGATTGCTATTGAATAGATAGTATCTGTCTACGGAGATTAAACATAAATATTCTGGGGACGACGTCTTCTACACACGTAATCCTCTACTCGAGCAATAGCATCGCGTAGTCACTTGGAGATACTCCTCGCATATCAGAAGCAAATATTCACAAGTTGATACAACATAACTCAAACAAAGTAGCTCTCAGTTCCAGAACTCCCGACTTCATTTCTAGTAGTCGCCTATGCAATTTCCTGAAAAAAGGTATCTCTCAACAACAAGGTGTATCAATCTTGTCTTCATCTCGTGGAATCGTAAAATAGGCCTTCCATCACTTCCAAAGGCCTCATCATTCACCGTTCACCATTCAACATTCACCTCGCGGCCAACTGGCCCGCTATCCACAACTTCTTTTTAAACCCCGTAACCATAATCTGTAATCCGTGATCCATAATCCATAATCCGTAAATCCATTAGCCGTAAACACCATGATGTCCGTGATCCCATTACTCCATACTCTGCATACAGCGTATCAATCTGTCGTCATTAAATCCGTTGGTAAAATGGATTGGTAGTTGAACGAAAATAAGAAATATGTACAAGCTAAATAGCAAAATAATATGTAATATGTAAAAGCCGCTACAACCTAGCGCTTGAACAGTGAACTGCTATTATGAGGCAGAGGCGCCGAAATAAGCTGGCCTCTAGCTCTCTTGTCGTAAGCGCGCAGTTTCTTCGGATTGACGGTGTACTTGCTGTAGCGCTTGATGCCGAGTCGTTCGTCGTTATTTCGGCCGGCGCTAAGAGCCCATCGGCCCTGTCTGTGCCAGTCCTTACCGATATCAAGCTTCCCGGCGAGGTCATGGGACTCCAAGACCATGTGCAAGTCGAACGCCTCGTCTGTACGCAGCTGTTCGTCGCAACAAAAGCTAATGATCTCGGCTAGGCAGGTGACGGCATGAGGGAGGCAGAACTGTTGCCTCTTAGGCACCAAGCAGATGAGCCCGCCTACGTAGAGGAATAGGAGGGCAAGAATAATGGCGAAAGCAGGTACATTGGGATACATGCGTGCTCCTCCGGAGGGAGGAGTTAGGGCCATGAACAGTCCACCAGCCAAGACAGGTAGAAGGGCAAAAAAGACGGATAGAAAAGACACAACGGCTACTCGCCAATGCTTGTTCTTCAAAGCCTTGTAAGTCGACTCGAAAGGGAGACAGGTGGAGTAGTCCAAGAGGAGCGAGGTCTCCGCTCGTGAACCTTCCGGGCGTGCAAGCTCACCCCACGGGGTTAGGATCCGCAATGTTAGGTCTAGAGACTGAAACATGAGGAATAGGATGAGTCCGAGGAGCGAAGGGACAAAGGAATAGACGAAGTTGGCTGCCGAAAATGCGCCTGTGACAGGAGCAGGGCTTATTTGAGGGAGGAACCCGTTGCGTATATCCGTGGCAGGGACAAACGATACGATGATCAAAGCGAGCAGAAGAATCGAAGATGCAACGGCAAAGAAAATGATCTGACCATCTCGAAAGCACCACGGAAGGTAGTGGTAACGGATACTAGGGCTCAGGGGTTGCTCGCCAGCCTCTAAGGGGGCTTCTTGTTGACTGGTCCATCCTGGATTATCCATCTTTTCAGTTATAATATCTTCAGCGCCGGTCGATACTCCCATGCCGTACCACGTTCCGACTTTTGGTGCTTCAGGGCAGAACCAAAATCCAAGCCTCTCAGCAGTTCCACCCAGTTTTTGCCACATGCTTTCCCGCGTTGTTGCCGTTTCGAGCCCGCGGTATCGATGCAACGAATTGCTTTGGGATATGAGGAAAATGATATCTGCTAAAGTTCGAAGACTCCAGGGTCGCATCATCCCGGTTGTTCGCCGATGCCAGAACACCACCATCACGACCAGTGCTAGTAGAAAGGACACATATAGTGCCACCAACGTCCACGCTACACCCTGTACTGTTGCCCAGGTCCAAGTCCCGTCCACGAAAATGACAGTGAAGAGACTGCTTTGCAGCGGGATTGTGAAGTTCAAAAGCCAAACATTAAATATGGGTATCCAAATATTCCAGCTCCCAACGAGTTGGGGCCAGAGAAACGACTTGGGGAATAAAGGCAAAAATACAGCATCTCGTCGTTCATTACGATTATCCGCGGCCATGTTAGAAAATGGCAAGACCCAGAACGCAGCATTAATAACACATTGGGCATATATTAGGATAATTATCGCCAATAGCTGGGGCAGCATTCGGAAAAGGAAGTATTGGCCACCGTAGATTGTACCGGCGTATGGCGTTAGACCGTTGCGGCCCATGGAGTAGACAGCGCAGAACACGAGAGCCGCAACCATCAATAAGCACAGCATTCCCAAAAGCAACAGCGATTGCGACCGTAGGACCCAAGGCTTCAGTGTTAGGGGTGCTTGATACTGTAGGGCTTTTCCACAATGGTGTAATCCCGTCTCGGAATCGATCAGTAGATCTGACCGGGGCTGCCAGTGGTCTAAATTTCGTGGTAGGGGAAGCTTTTCGTCCGGCGGTCTATTTTCTAGTTTGAGGCGCTCATCGTGTGTTTGAGGAATGGGTCTAATACGAGCTTTAAAAGCTTCATTTTCGTCGGTAGTATCCGGAATTACGTCCCAAAGAGGTTGACTTGCTAGTTCTGCTCGACGCTGCCGCTCCGGCCATCCCTGACGTAAATCCTCTGCAGTGGTATTCGGGGGCAGAGCAATAACACGAGGGCCTGGAACTATGGGCCATTGCTGAGGATCATTGTTGCCTCTGGTCGCTTGCGGAGGTAATTGTACCGAGGGCGGTCTGAAGGGGCTCGGGACCGCAGTTGGTGTAAAGTGATACGGTGGTCGGGCTGATTCATCACTGCTAGAGGAAGGGTATCCTGATTCATCTCGATCTCGAGTAAGGGCATCTAAAGCGTATTGAATGTAAGGACCATCATCAACTCCGGGGGTAACAACACCGGCAGCTCTTGTGAGATCATCTTTAAAATCATCCGCAGACGTGATATCTCGGAACGTAGCCATAGCCGGATATTGTGGCTGGTCGAAGCGCGCACCCGGGCTTGATATCAGCGAGCGATCGGCATTCTCTGGTACCACTAGCGGGGGCCCGAAAAGTCGGTCCGGGCCATAGATCTCTGACTCGGAGGATTCTGAAGGAGCGGAAGGAGCCGATGGAGGAGTGGGCGCATAGGGTACAACGGTTTGCTGCGAAGATGGAGGCGAAGGCTCTTGAGTAGACGTGCCGGGCCCAGGCCGCGAGTTAAGATGGTGGACGACAGTGACTTGTGACGTTGTTGTCGGGGGAGAGGCGTCAGAATTGGATATGTTGACTCTATAAGAAGGGTTCGGTCCTAAGAAAACAAGAGTAAGCTAAAGAGAAATGATGTAAGAATAAGAATAAGCATATAAGTAGGTTGGCATACGATTTAGTTCGACGTAGTCGGGGCCGTAGTTGTGGGAACTCATGCTTCGTCCTGTCGGTTTGTCGTGCTAAAGGCGATAGCGACAATTCCGCTTGGACAAGTTGACCAATTGTTTGTTCAGTAGTACGAGTAGCACGAGTTGGTGTTTCTTAGGTAGAGATAGACGGAAGAGTACATTAGGAGAGATACAAAGTCTGAAATATGGTTGGAGGTTGGGCCATCTCATCCTGCATATCGAGAGGCTGGTTTGCAGTGAGGTTGGGCAGCCCCAGCCACCGCCGGACGAAGCCCATAACTAGACGAAACCATAGATTATAGATATATATCTATGTAAATGGACCGATGAATGTAAAATATTATATTATACTAGATGCGTCTTATATCATTTTTCCTATATAAAAAAGAATATCTGGTGAACTATAACTCATAAATGAGACTTGTAATAGTGATTGTATGTGTAGAAAAGAATTGGATACTAACGGTGGGGGGCAGTGGAACAGGGGTATAAGAGTGGGAACCTTGGAACTGCTAGCAAAGCTTGGCCCATTTACAAAAGCTTGTGTGGGGCATTTTGGCTTGGCAGCTACCTCTTAGCAACTTAGCCAGCACTTGACAGCTTACATCACCCAGATGTATTTCTTCACCTTTACCTATTGGTTCATGCTTCAATTCTCTTCTTTAACTCCTATAAACACCCACTTCCTGTCGCGCTGTCATACTCTTACAAAACCAGGAACAGCCTAGGACAAGTCAGATCTAAAGAGGTCTCGTAGGAACGATTAACGACTATCGAGTATCAATATACATGATACAGAATTAGATCACGATAGCTTGATCTACGGATAATCATGCATGCTCGATAGGGATGTATAAATCCTGCAAGCCACTTGCGCCACCGCGAACGCCGACATACACCAATAAGTGAGATGAATCCCAACTTCAAATATAATATATAGCATAACTATACGGCTCAAACTCACTGGCGGCCGGTTCTGCAGTCACAATTTTGACTATATGAGTATTCGATTATGTCACAGCGACGTATTTGATGCTTCAATTTCCTCCCTTGGCATGAGCTTATGTGTCGAGGGAGTTCTAATATTAATTTATGCGAAGGCTTAGGGAACTTTAAACCGAAGAGTGTATAAAAGCCACACCAGGATGTTATGAGCCATCGGGACCTAACAATGAATACTTGTTATGTGTCTCGCCTAAGACTTGAAGAAATCTCTCGTCGTAATGAGACTCAAAAAATCTGATCTGATTTCAATACCATTAAGGAGAATTCTTTGTCAGGCATGCGGCAGGGCCTTCATATAACAATACGTTCTGAGGAACTGTTAATATCCCTCGCCAAATCTCGATCTTTCCTGCGATGGAATGGATATACAGGGGAAAACGTGTGTTTGGAGATGGACCTCCCTCTCTGGCTTCGTTATAGCTAGGCTCCCTGAGACAGTGCGATTCCAACAGGGATATCTCAGCACTGATAACATTACCTGTCTTAGAAAGATGTGCCCTTCGCATCGCAAGACCACCGCAATATGGTATTTTCCTTATTTTATGAGCTGATTAGATCGTCACTACAGGGGCGCCATGGTCTGGGGGAGACTGGAGCATGTCTGATTTCCCCTTGAAATTTGGTGTACCAACATAACATAACAGATACGTATATAATAAGCAGGCGATCCCGTAATGTCATGGTTATAATATCTTCACCACAAAGGCAATTGGCAAGGAGCTGAACTATAGAGCAGCAGCGAAGGAAGCTCTTTAGTACAAATATAGCAGCTCTAAGATAAGTTGATCAGCTAGTCTACCGCCAATATGTGGAACCAAGTCGTTCTCGCGGCTCTCATCCCGGCTATGATGGCCAAGCCCATCGCGTAAGTCGCCTTCATATTCCCTTTTGCGATTCGCCGTTTAACAGAACCAGGCCACGAGGAGAAATGACTGGCGTGCAAGAGTCTCATGATTCCCCGGTCTTTGATTCTGCCGTACTTCGCAATAACACATTGATGGCAATCGCCAAGGCTATGGAAGTCGAGAACTCTGATTCGGCTGAGGAGGGGACATCACAGAACAGCCAAATGACCCAAGTCGAGCGTCGACAGATTAGCCCCAGTCAGTTGTCCGACCTTTCGAACCATGCCGCCTCTACCATCTTCAATGGGGCTTCCGCAGGCGTCATGTCGTGGGCAACTAGCGTTGGCAATGCTATGTCCACCGGCCACCCTCTTGTGCCCCGCGCTGGGAAAGGGAGAAAAGCGAAAGCGACTTCAACCCCTACCCCTACTCCTACTCCTTCGGCTTCTGGTACTGCTACAGCTTCGAATTCTGCCCACCCCACTGCATCTAACAACTGTAACTGCATCAGTGCCTGCGCCGACGAGGATGGAAAGGCTACTCAGATGCAGTGCATGAAGAAATGTTCAGCAGACTGCGATGGCGACGATGACAAGAAGAAGGATAGCGATATTCTTGGCGGTCTTGGAAAGTCTCTCTTAGGAAGCCTCGGTGGGAGGAGTATCCCGGCGCCACCTCCCATGCCTCCCCATCGCAAGTTCACCCACCCACGTCCAGCCAAGACCGTACATGAAGCTGCCGGTGCCGAGTTCGAGGACTTTGACGCTTGCATGAACAGCTGCAAGACTCACAACTGCAAGCACTCTGAGGTCGGACTCGCCATTTCGCAGTGCGGCGATACCTCATGTGAAGACGCATGCGCCAAGTTCAAGTCGTCCAAGTCTAGGTACAGCAAGAGCATTCAGAAGAAGCATATTCGCCCTGTTGCCGACCGCGTGAAGGCCGATACACCACTTCCTAAGCCGAAGAAGCCTGTAGCAGCCGCCACGCACAATGAGGCCTTCGAGAACTGCATGAAGAAATGCCAGAGCCATAACTGTCAACACTCCGAAGTTGGAATCTCTATTTCTCAGTGTGGTGATACCTCGTGTATGGAGTCGTGCGCCAAGTACAAGGAAGGACAGGCTATGATCATCACCAGGCAAGCCAGACAGCCTGGAAAGACTGGCGACGTACCCGACGTGGCTGACGTGCCTGATGTCCCCACTGTCGCTACAGTTCCTGAAGTACCTCCTACACCCGAGGTCGCCGAGGTCCCTGTCGTCGCCGCCGTCCCTGAAGTTCCCGAAGTCAAAGGGGGACCCATCAAGGCTGCTACCCCTGCCTCTGCCCCTGTTCCCGCTCCCGCTACCCACGGCGCACCCAAGCACCACGGTCTCGCCCCCGGCCACGAATCCGTACCCGTCAAAGGCGTAGCCCAAGAAGGCGAGTACGAGGCCTGCCTCAAGGAATGCAAAACGCACAATTGCCAAAAATCCGGCGTCGGCCTCGACATCGAGCAATGCGGCGACACCTCCTGCGTCGACGCCTGCGCGTCTCTCAAAGAGTCCGCCCACGCCGGCGTCAGCGCGCACAAAGTCAAAGTCCCCTCCGCGCCCGGCCGTTTAGCAGACCACCCCGGGCCTGACCCCCCGGTCGTCAAGACGGTGCCTGAGGCCGGCGCGCACGAGAGCAAGGAGTTCCAGGACTGCGTCAAGCAGTGCAAGACGCATAACTGCCAGAAGGCTGATATCGGGCTCGAGGTCTCGCAGTGTGGGGACACGTCGTGTTCGGAGTCGTGTGCCCATCTCAAGGAGGGTAAGGCGGCGCATATTGCTGGTGCGCCGAGGGCTATGGATACCGCTGCAGCAGAGATGACGACTGTGGCGGCGCCTGGTTTAACACCTATGTCGGTTTCTGCTTAGGTTTAGGGGTATTGGTAGAGTTTTACTTCTTTTGTATTTGGTCTATTACTACCGTTGCCAATTTGCTCTTTTTTGGGAAAAGAACCGAAAATTAACATGGAAGGGAGCATTGGTCGCCGGAAATGCTTTGTATAATAGCAGGGCATAATGGGGCCTAAATCTTCAGTGTGTTCTTATGACTGGAAGACTCCACTATCTCAGGTTACGAACTGCTGCGAAATTTCCTATTCTATATCTTGTAAGATTTTGTTCAATCTAGGTATCAAATAAGGGGGTGGGATTTCATTTTATAAAGCTTAATCGCATTTTCTACGATTTTATCTCGCATTGTAACATGAGTGAGGGATATGCAGGTACCTATGCAATTATTTCTCACTGCCTAGACGTCCGAGAAATGTCCAGGTTACTTTTGCTGCGTGTCTCGCGCCTTAAATTTTAATCTCATATGCGCCCACGCCCACCTCAGCTCTGCAAAGCCTCCTCAAGCGTCTTCCCAGTCAACCTCCTAAACACCTCGGCGTACCTCTCCCCAGTCGCCCTGAGCACATCCTCCGGCACCTCGACGCCGTCCTTCCCCTTGAGCCCGTTCTCCGTAAGCCAGTTGCGCAAGAACTGCTTATCGAAGCTCTCCTGGTCGCGGCCCGGCTCGTACGTGTCCTTGGGCCACATGCGCGACGAGTCGGACGTCAGCACCTCGTCGACGAGCACGACCTCGTCGGCGGCCTCGTCCAGGCCAAACTCGAACTTGGTGTCAGCGATGATGATGCTGCGCTCGGCGGCGTACTCCTGGCCCGCGCGGAAGACGCGCAGCGCGAGGTCCTCGATCCGCGACGCGTACTGGTCGCCGACGATGGCCGCGGCCTGGGCGCGGGATATGTTCTCGTCGTGCTGGCCCAGCGGCGCCTTGGTGCTCGGCGTGTAGATGGGCCCGCCGGGGATGGCGTCGCACTCGCGCAGGCCGGGGGGCAGGGGGGTCCCGTGGACGGAGCCGTGGGCCTGGTATTCCTTCCAGGCGCTGCCGGTGATGTAGCCGCGGACGATGGCCTCGATGGGGAAGACGGCGAGCTTGCGGACCTGCATGCTGCGGGTGCGGATGACCTGGGCCTCGGCGGGGGTGACGGCGGGCGGGACGTCGGTGGTGAGGAAGTGTGTTTTTAGGCCGGGGACTCTTTGCGACAGGACGTTGAACCAGTGGGCGGATTGGAGGGTGAGCAGGGCGCCTTTGTTGGGCACGCCGTTCTTCATGACGACGTCGTAGGCGGAGATGCGGTCCGTGGTTACGAATAGCAGGGTGTTGTCGTCGACGGTGTATAGGTCGCGGACCTTGCCCGTGGCGAGCTTGGGGAGTGACGTCAGAGTCACTTCTGTGAGGACGTTGTTGGAAGCCATATTCGCTTCTCTCTTTTTTTTCCTTTCCTTTTTGCTAGCTTTAATCCTTAGATTCTCGGATACCTTATAAGGTAGGTAACCTATATATATCTACGAGATCCGGATTGGCGATGCGCTCAACGTATGATAATTGATAATGTGGTGGTGGTGGTGGTGGTGGTGGTGGTGGTAGGTAACTTAAATCTTGTAAGTCGATTAAATGAGCGAATTGATTGGTGCGCTGTTTTCGTCGTTACCCTAGACGAAGCGTTTTCTCGAAAACTTTTGCTTGAACTATTTTGGATCGGAGCAAATCGGCGTCTTTTTTCATAAAGTCAGTGTGACTACTTATGGATATGGGATATGGAAATTTAAATTCTATTAAGCGGTTATATATGATTTTTTCTTAATTGCATCTTGTTAGATATATAATCTTATAGAATAGGCAAGTAATAATAATATTATCGAACATGTTGTTGTTTGATGAAAAATGATGAAAAAGTCGAGGTTGTTATCTCCCACATAATCAATCGTACAGCTTCATTAGCGTCGCAAACATGTGCAGGTATCCATGTACTCTTAATATACCTACCTACGTACAGAGGTAGGCACATTAGTAAAGTATTTAGACTTTACCTTTACAATGTTTCAAATACCTACATAGATCCCGTCAACTTAGGTGCTTACCTAAATTAAGACTTAAAGTATGTCTTCTAATGTATATCCTCATCACTCGACACCGTAACTACCTACCTACCTACATAGCTTTTAAATAGGGGTATTCATACAACCATTCTCAACAACCAAACACCACATATATGCTATCCCATCCTATTGGGTATAAATAATGGTATCTATGCTATAAAAAACAATAACAGCCACCCTCCCCAAATGCTTAATTAGCAAATGGATATATCTTCCACCTTACACACTCCCCCTTCAACCCGCTCCTGTATCTCCCGCCCTGTAACCCAATGCACGTACGCCTCGCCTATGACTTGAAATCTCCCCTTACCGATCTCAACCCCCTTCTCCTCAACTCCGTCGCCGACCCCATCACCGCCAACTCTTCTCAAAAGCAGCGGGGCATCACACCCGCCCACCACAGCCAAAACATCCCCCTCCCTAGCCGCAGCCGGCACCAGTCCCAAGAACCCCGTGCTGGTAACTACCAATCTCCTCCACCCCAGCGCCCGCATAGCCTGCGTCAGTGCCTCCCGATGCGCCATCGTAACCCTCAATATCTTAGGCCGAGCCCGCGCCGACTCCTTTACCCTCCTCCCGATATCCGCGCTCCTACTTAGGTCGCGCACCAGGGAATCCAGCGTCCACCCATCAAAGAGCTGGAGCGCGCGATTGCGCTGGTAGAAGTCCTTCAGGCCGAAGATATTGTTATCGATGCCGTTGATGCCCATGTCCCAGATCGTGGGGTGCATTACTGCAGTAGCTAGGGACGGGTTGTCGAGGTCCGGGTTTTCGCTGTCGCTGGCATTGTCGCTCTTGGATTCGAAATCCCCAGTTAGTGTCCGTGCCAGAGCCTCCCGCGTCGCGGCACGATCACCGTACGCGCTTTTGGGGGGCTCGGGCGCGCTGCGGGGGTACGACTTATCGGATTCGGTGGCGTGGCAGGCGCTGAGGGTGGTAATCGTGTCAAACACGACGCCCTTGACGATAAGCACGTTATCATCTGTGATGCGCGGCGTTGTGGGTGGGAGCGCCAGAAGGGATAAGGACCGAGTGCGGTCAAGGAACGGCTGCGCGGGGTTCCGCGGACACGACCAGCAGATGACCCACGACGGCAAGCCGTGCTCGCAGCCGCGGTGCACGACGCGGTGGTCGTGGATGAGTTTCGGCGAGCGCGGGCGGGAGAAGTGCGTGCTTTTGTAGTACCGAGTACCGATCGCCGGGATAGGGCTGTTCACAAGTCGGAGACCGTTTACGTTGCCGCTTGCGAGGAGACGTGCCGAGAAGAGGATGAAAGTCTCGGGTGCCGTGCGGTTGTAGTCCGGAATGAGCTGGATGGTGTTTGCGATCTGCGGTAGACCGAGGATACCGTAGACCCGATCGCGTTCGTCAGTGGCGTTAGCTTCGCGGCTGACGAGTAGACAGTCGTATACGCCGTTGTGCAGTGCTGATAAATCTAGATCGAAGAACTTGAGCGCTGTTATCGCGATCGGCCGCTCCCACAGCTTCTCTGAGATCCCGTACGTGTCTTCGGCTACGAAATTCCATCTCTGGTGGGTTTTACTCGACCCTTTTGCGGCGAAGATTATATACTGGCCTAGCGCGTCGCCGTCTGCCTTCATCACCCTCAAGGCGTTGAAGATATCTTTTAGCAAGATGGAGCTATTGCCACAAATAACAGGTGAGTTTCGAGACCCCAGGACAACTTCTTGGATAATCCAAAGCCTACGCCAGTACGGCCTAGCAAGGAGGTGGTAGATCGCATTCAGCACGGCTTTCCGTATGCGCAAGCTCGTGTGCGCATGTTTCCACTGCATAAATGGCAACCGGACGACATAAAACTCAACATGCTTATACAGTTTATCCAAGACATCTTCATCCTCCGAATGGAGACTCATGTACCTGAGCGCCAGCGTCGCTAGATCGCTGCGGTTCTCGTCAGGGCCGAGCCAAATGACGACGTGCCACGCGGCCTGGTATATATCCTTCATTTTGGCGACCTGGGCAGAGCGCTCGTCTAGATCCTCTTGGTTGATACATAGCGCATCGACCCAGAGTAAAAAGCCTTGTTGTATGCGACTGTGGTGTCGTAGCTCTCGTAGAGCACCCTCGAGACTAGCTGTGACGGAGACGGGTATGCCGTCGACGATTATCTCGCGCCTTATGGATTGGTCGCCCCAGACGTAAGATAAGGCGACGAAATCACCCCAGGTGTATCGCCAGGGTAGACTAGCTTCTTCATCCTGGCTTGGGTTCCACGCTGTTACCGTACGATCTCCGACCTTTGGTGGGCTTTCCCTAAGACAACTGGGTCCCTCGAAGTAAGGCACTACTGGTAAATTGGCCAGCGGAGTCATGCGTTCTACCAAGCTCTTCTCAAAGAGCTCGTTGAATCCCGTCGGCTGTGATGTCTTGGATTGGCTATCAACAGCAGTGTCCACGCTCACCGGCCAAGTACCATTAGACCCCTTCGTCGCATTCCCGGCATTGGCAATCACATCAGCCTCTCCAAGCGCAACATGCACGATTTCGCAGTGCACCGGCCCCGTAGCGTGAACGGGATCATCCACCGGCGTCAGGAGTCGAATGACACGAATATCATGCTGGCCAAGCAGCGGCCTATACTGTAATTTCTGCTGCATTTTCTAATTTTCTCCGTTCAAAGTCCGTCGTTAAACACCAAAGGAAAAAAAAAGAGAGAGAGAACGAATGAGTTTCGGCAGCGATTCATTATTAATTATATGAGGACTCGTCAGCTCTCGCATAATGCAAACGCGTTTCGTAACGAGGGCAGCATAGGTCAGTCTATGTATGTACTATGTAGTATGTATGGGTTGAAATCCCACTCTAGACCAAAACAAGTTGGTTTCCTTGCGCATCGGACCGGGGCCGCTTTCAGCTGTTGCTATTAATATGCCGAAGTCATCTCCAAAAGTACGCTTTGACTACCTAGCTAAGTAATCTGCTCCGACTCTGATGTTCATTATATGGAACTCTTATACTACATATGTGCCTTTATATGTAACTCATCTACGGTACCGAGCGAGTATATTGTCGTCACATGTAAGTGTTAATGAGCCGGTCGCACTATGTGTCTCGAGCTTCGTCCTAGGTGAGCCCCACGATCAGCAAATAGCCATCTATTTATATATAAAAAATATCATTTTCAAGTGCCTTAATGTTACATCTTTCCATTTACCTACACAAATTCTTCCCCTGTCCAATCCGGCTTCTATCCATCTCCACTAACCTCCTACTCCTACCCATATGTACAATGGATTTTCTCAACCACCCACCTGAAGACCCTGCCAAAGGGTGGTGAGATCACTGGGAAGTGGATCGTGGAGAAGCGTAGGGAAGAACGGAAACGGAGGGCGGACTCAGGCAAGGAGGAAGAGGAAGCAGATGAGTAGCTGCCGCTGTGAGAGAGCCTTTCTCAACCAATAGTATATTGATTCCTATATAGAACAAATACTTTCCGGTAAGCCACAGATACCCAGTATGATAGACGATTTAATAGACCAACCAGCTCATGTAAATCGATAGTATCTTTATTTCAAGAGTCTACATTATTTATCTACATTATTTATGATGAAAAACTGGTCTGGCTACGCTTACCTTCATGCAAGATATCTCAGAGCAAGCTATGAATTCCGTGACAGCGTGAGGAATACGCTATAATATCAACAGGGGCATAACGACAAACCTCATGAGGATAGTCACTAGACTACCCAAATTTTTACGGTAAAAGCAGAAGTAGAAGAAGAAGAGTAGTGAAATAGAGGTGAGTCCAAACGAGCGACCACCTACTAAGGCCGAGTCAATGCTCAAGGCAAAATTTGGAAAGAAAAAAGAAAAAAAAAACACATCCAAAAACCTGAACGCCAAAACAAAACCAAGTGCCAAACCCAAACGCCAAACCAGAAACCAAGAACCAACCCAAAAACCAAACCTAAAACTCCACATGAAAACAGTCCAACACAAAGCAAACAAAACAAAATCCAAATCCAATGACCTTCTCCCAATAATACCCCTCGCAACACCATAATACCCAGACCCCTATACTCCCGCGGTTTTGCAGTTCCCAGAAACGAATGACCCATAGGTGAGTAGGATGAGAAAGGAATGTAGATCAAATGAACCAAAGAGGAATTGTGTTGAATATAGAGATGGGCATATGAAGGGAAAGGTAGAAAAGGGAGAAGAAGGGAGAGGGGAACGAAAAGGGATGATGACCAAGGTAGAAAGGGGATGGAATGGGTAAAGGGGAACGAACAGAGTGATGAGAAGGAGAGAATGCAAACGAGTGAAACAGTTTACAAGAAACATCCGGTCATCTGCGACAACTTATACAAGAAAGAGAAAGAAGGGATATCCAAAAAAACACAACATATGGGCACTGCAAAACCGCCTCACTAATATATCACCGAACCGAGTACTCGACCGACCGACCGACCGAAAAGAAAGACTATGTCGCAAAAGAAAGCCAAGCATAAGCCAGCCCCGCGCCGACAGCCGCAGCCGCGACGCCAACACAGGCAAGAGACTTCCAACCAAAACCGGATCCTCTTGCTGGCGCTTCCGCAGGCCTTGGCCGCTCCAGGGCGAAAGCCGATGGGAGCTGACGTCTGGCGAAGAAGTGCTGAGAAGGAGAAGACGGAGCAGAAGTAGAAGCCGAACCCGAAGCCGAAGCAGGAGAAGAAATAGAAGCAGGTGCAGGTGCAGGTGCAGGTGCAGCAGTAGATGATGCACGGAGGTCTTGCATGATCTGCTGGATAGAACGAGCGTATTGGTTCGCAACGTCGGAGTTGTACGAGCCATACGAGTCTGCATGAGCGTCGGGACTCTCGAAAGAGTCTTCGTGAGCAGGTAGAGCAGAAGTAGTTTCAGGGGCAGCAGCGGGTTTAGCAGCAGACGATGCACGAAGATCGCGCATAATCTGTTGGATCGAGCCAGCATACTTGTTCGCCACGTCGGAGTTATAGGAACCAAAAGAATTTGAACGAGTGTCCTGACTCTCGAAAGAGTCATCATGAGCGGGCGAAGCAGGGGTTGGTTCAGCAACAGGCTCAGCAGCAGCAGATGGTGCGCGAAGATCCCGCAAAATCTGCTGGATAGAACCAGCGTACTGGAGAGCAACGTCCGAGTTGTAAGAGCCGTAAGAGTCCGAATGGGTGGTTGGGCTCTTAGGAGGGCTATCGTGAATAGGTGAGGCAGCAGTAGGAACAGGAGAAGGAGTTGGAACAGGAGCCGGAGCAGCAGTAGATGGCGCGCGAAGATCTTGCATGATCTGCTGAATGGAGCGAGCGTACTGGTTGGCAACGTCTGAGTTGTAAGAGGCAAAAGAGCCTGAGTTTGAATGAGCGGTTGATCCCTCGAAAGAGCTCTCGTGAGCATATGTCTCCTTCGCCTTCGCCACCATCTCCCTCAACTCCTTCTCCTCCTGCTCTTCCTTCTCCTTCTCCTTCTCCGCTTGCCACCGTTGGCGATCACTGTCGCTTTCGACGTAAAGCTGAAGAAGAGAAGATAGTCCGGAAGAGTGGGCAGGTTCTGGGGAGGGTTCGCGGAGAGGCTTCGGGGAATCTAAAGGGATGTATACATCCGAAATGGATTCGGAAAGAGGGGACATGGTCGGCTGGTTGCGTCTCCTTGCTGCCCATTCCTTGCGCTCTTCTTCGCCTTCGTTAAACATTTGGAGGACGTGTGGCGGCCAAGGACGGCTATTCACGTCTACCCAAGAAGAGAATTCCGAAGATAACGTCGAGTCTGAACGAGCTTGTGCTGAGCGAGTGCCTGTTGAACGAGTATGTTTTGAATGAGTGGATGCTTCCGAAGAAAATGACGATGCGATCTCGACTTCTTCGTAGCGAACGGTGTCAGCTGTGAGGCTGCTGCCGGGCTGCTGTTCCAACAACAGCTTTTCCAACTTCTTCATTGCCTCCAACTTCGCCCTGATGTGTGGTGGAAGAGCGGCGAGAGGATTGTGAATGGGCCAATCGGTAGTCTGGTACGTGACATCTTCGATTTCCCGGGATGGAGAGTCCCAATCAGACCAAGTCCAATTGTAACGGTCGATCTCGGGCTTGAACATGCGAGGTGACCAGTGTAGGGGTTTGTCGTTTAAGTCTGGGTTTTTGAAAGGAGTGTGAACCAGAGGCGAACTCTTGATGCTGGGTTCCGGGTTTGCCTCTACAATAGCGCGTTTAGGCGTTACTGTTTTAGCAATAGGTAGATCAGCGATAGGAGCTTTCGTCCTCTTTTCGTGTGTCGAGTCAGTAGCAACTGGCTTTGCTTTTGCTTGGCCAGTTTGTCTGCCGAGTCGTGCCTTTTTAGCTAAAGTAGCTTTGTCGTTTGGGAAGTTTTTCGGAATACGAACGACTCGCAAGCCGTTCTTCATTCTAGATGCTATACGAGGAGACAGGTTAGCTTAATAATAGAAAGAGGTAAAAGAGATATGCAATGAACTAGGGAAAGGGGCTAATATGAAATAGCAAAATAGGGGAAGAAGTTTGACGGCAACTGAAAGAGATAAAGAGAAACGAAGAGATACTTACGAGTTACTTGATGACCACACCACTTTGCCGGGAGCAACATCTTTACTCTGTCACATCCGGGACATAGTGTTTTGGGCTTAGGTGGAGGGTTAGTACCACGGCGGGCTCCCCGTCTCTGATCACGGGCACGCATGGAAACTAGAAGCTTCGAAAGGGGAGAGGGAGGTGCTTTTGAGTTAGGAGAGGAGAAAGGAGAGACGACGGGAGAGGGAGGGGAAGGAGTAGCGGGGAAAGGAGCAAGAGGAGAGAAAGGGGAACGGATAGGAGAGAAGATGGGAGAGCGGACGGGAGTAGGGTTGTAGGGTATAGTAGGGGTAGGAGGAGTAGCAGGGGTGATGGGTGACCAGGAAAAGCGAGGAAGAGGAGACGGTGTTGAGGGAAAGGGAGGGATGTTGGTGTGGGACCTAGTTAACCCACGACTGAGAACAGCCGATGCTTTGGTAGGAGTGACTGGTGGCATTGCAGATGAGAGATGTATTAGAGTTGTGTAGTGTTGCAGTGTTGCAGTTTTGTGCGAAGAGCTATGTGAAAGGTGAAGTGCGAAGTGAAGAGAGTTGTTAAAGGGAGGAGAGAACGAGCTACAGTCTATAGCGAGACGCGCTTTTATACTTTCACGTCACGTATAGGCTAGGGGCATTCTTATAAGCCGCAATTCCTAACTTCTCACCTGATAGTAGCATTATCAAAAGTGTAATATATGGCCTTGATACAACTCTGCTAGGGTCTTAAACGGATATAAGAACAGTTATTGCTGCTTATATACATATCTGTATAAGCGAACTTGACGAGGAGAACGGCGTTGGCCATCGATTGTGGGATTCTTCGAGGAGGTTGTAAATTAAAAACTATATGATGGTGTAGCGACATATTGGTTCAATTATATTGGAAAGTCATAGGAGAACCATAGCCTTTTCTGTGGAGTAGTTGATGAAAAGGTCATCTGGGTGAGGCTAGAGGATCGCGAGGGCCGTTTGTCGAAGTCTCTGGCTCGGCCGATCTGCGATAACTCAACAGCGTGCGTCTGTAATGACATCAAACTTTGGATAATAGTTATTCAGAGCCCTTAGGACCAACTGACGGTGTAACATGCTCGTATGATGATGTGCTCGTGGCGGGTCGGATAGGGGTCTTTCGCGCAGAACTCGATGATTATGGATGGAACTATCAGACATTCGAGCCGAAATAGAGCTTATAACTACTATGAGAATCTTCAGAATCACTTAGAGCGACTACTAGCTGATAATGAGAGAAGTATAGTAACTGCGTCTTGATGATATCTGCCTGTTAGGTGACCACCCTCTGGTCCTACGGGCAACAACTTCCCGAGCCTCACAAACTGGCATCAACCCACAACGCCGGTAGCTCTTTCTATTCTAATAGCATAATGGTATTGCGTGCGTATTTTACGTACATAGTTCTCCGCGTGTATAAGGAAGGAATCCATTGAAAGGCGAAGGGCTAAATTCGTTTCCTATTCCACATATGGCCTTCCCTGGATGGAATTGATATTAGTAATTCTTGAGCAGAGGCATACTTAGAATCTAGGAGAGCCGAAGACAAGATAAGGAGGCTATAACGCGGAGCTTGTGCATGTATTAGGCATGCAATCAACCCAGACGAAGACACCGCAATACGTAGGCAGAGCACATCTCTGGCTGTCAGCTATCTATAAGCAAGCCCGCTCCCCTTGGAATTATTATTAATTTAATAATGTTTCTCGAGATATCCATCAGCCCAACCGTCAGTCGTCCAAGACTTGCACCGAATTGTTCTCTAGCTGGCGTCTCTCGAATCGGGCTTCTGCCGCCTGACGCATAACATCCTCAGAGTTCAACTTGTCCGCTGCCGCCGTCGCCGTCTCCTTAATCAGGGTTCGAACCGCACTCATTAGTAACTTATACCATCCGTTATGCGATTTGCAGCGCTTCTTTTCGCACATGCCGCGCGTGGCCGGGTCTCCTTGCAAATCGGGATCGAGGGGCGTATCGAGTTTCCCTGCTTTGAAAGTCGCTTGGCCCTCGGGGGTCTCTAGCCATTCCGCGAACTGGTAACGAACCGAGACCGTGTCGAGTCGCCAATCGTAACCACAGCTGTCCTTGGCGAATTTACTTGCTTCTATAGCAAGCTGCCGACGGTGGTTGGCCCAATCTATGAGCTGCATCATCTTCTTATACTGTACAATTTCATTGCCAAGCGCGAGACGTTCGGCAGCAGAGCTCTTCAAAAACGCTTGCTCCTCATCACTAAGAACGCCCGGTTGGGTAGGGAGACCGTTAGCCCAAAGGCCGTCTACGTTGCCTGAATAATAAGTCAGCACACATAAAGATGACTAGAGGTAGAAAACAAGACTAGGAAAGAAACTATGAACATACCAAAGGGTTGATCACCAAGTTTCCAGCCGCCATTTTCGATAGTACTAACAAGAAGACCGACGAAATCTTCCTGGGTAAGGACTTCAATAGCCTTTTCGGAGGCGGCTTTGGTTGGCAGCGTATTGATCAAGGAGGACCACCAGAGGTCGCAGTGATCATTGCAGCAGAAAGCACTTCTTTCTTTAGGATTCTTATTGTATAGGCGAGCAGCGGTTTTGCAGCCTGTAAAGGAGCAAGTCTTCCTGTACTTGGTATAGTTGAGCTTGCCATCGGTACAGTTAGGACAGACGAAACGCTCGACCAACTTTTCGCCAACCTCTTTATCGAGGTTGACGCATTCTCCATGGAACCAATCTTCACAGACATCACAACTTATCATCCATCTGTGGTCGTCTGGTCCACGGCAGATACAATAGGGGCCGTTGTCAGTCTCATCGTCGGAGCTACCGTCTTGGGCGCCATTCGCGGGGCCAGTTGACGAGGGGTCCTTTTTGGAGGTCTTGGATTTGGGGATCCTAGACTTTCTAGGACCTTTCTTGGCCGCGGTTCCCTTCTTCTTGGATGCAGGCCTCATCTTGTTGGAGCCAGCCTGGGAGGGAGGGGGAGAGGAATTTGGTTGGGTATCATCAGGGTCTGGTTTGAATTGAGGTGTATTTGTTTGGACCAGGTGATGCAGTGAATCAGCAGACCGAGGGTGCGCGTCACTGTTTCCATTGGCAACCTTCCCACCCAAGCCGTTGCCGAGATGCGAATTAGTACCTCCCATCTCAACATCTTCACTGGATATCGCATCCGCCGTTATGCGAGGATCCGCCATTATGAAGAATATGACTGGTTAATCCCCAACCCGTACTAGGGGAGCCAAAAGAATAAAAAAATTCACCACTGATCTACCACGGAGGGAACTTTGACCACTGATACAAGAGTAAAATTAATATAAGGACACTTTTCTTTAGGGATCTCACTTATGAAGACCAACACCTTCGAACTTTGATGAGGCTAGCATTTTCTGTCGAGATGGAATTGATTTTTTCGCTTCAAATATTTTAGAGGTGAAGGGACAAATAATGAACTAAACAATTGGTGATTCCTCGTGAAGTCTTTTGGGTATATCAGAATAAGATGAGCGCTGCGACTTGTGAAGACAATGTTTAACAAGGGGAAGCCATAGGCAGGTCTTAAGAAGTATGGATGTACAATACATGTAAACAGATACGCTAATTGGAGGCTGGTACTGAATGTGGCAGTGTGGCGTTTAGATTACCGTTATCGAACATCCGATAATGACAGTATTCGCACAGTATGGGAGTACACAACCCCTTTTACATACAAGCCACTACGCTGCCAAGAAATCAGGGGTAAGGGGGTCCATAACTCGCGGATACGAAACTTCTACTCGACAAGGAAACAAAAGATGACGAATAGCCTCTACAAAAACCACGGGAACGATTAGACGGTATCTAGTCTTTAGTCCAGACTAATAAGATAGGCAATGTCTAGTTTATGGGTGACCTGGTAGGCCACGGGAAATACTCGTATCACTTATAAGACATCGTCAAAAGCATGCCGTGAAACTGCTTGTAATTATGTGGTACGGGGATTGGACATCCCGTCCATGATGCTAAAGGCACCACAATATCAACTAATGATAAATCACCCAATGTGATTAAAACTTTCTATACGGCACGAAGGCCGAACACCCACCCTCCAACCGCTCACACTACTCTATACCACGAGGAGAATACCTCGTAGTAAAACTGACCGGCCGCTGACTTCGCAAGCACAGCGCTGTCTACTTCATCGTACGCGGCGGTAAGTTCAATTCCGCACACGCTTTCAAGGTAATCCTTGTCGCCCGCAGTGGGCTGGCTATAAATTCAAGGTACTCCGTTAGCAGATCAAAATCACAATAAATAACAGCAGATATTAGGCTAACTTACTAGCCCTCCTTCTTCCACCTCCAGAGGAACTCGGCTGCCGCCTCTAGATAAGTAGTGCCGTTTTGGCGAGCATTTTTGTGTTGGTCCCTACGTTTCTTAAAGAAACGCGTGTCGGCGGTGTTGAACCGCTTCTCCATCTCATTGCGCCCCAATGAGGGGAGGATCTTGTTTCCCCACATTGCCTCATATTTCTTGAGGGGCTATTAGTGAAGATATTAGTAAGCTTTTATCTATACGAAAATAATTAAGAAAATTTGTTTCTTACGCCGGCGGGGGGTTGCAGGGGCTGTACGGCCGGTTGAGCGGCTGGTTGGACTGCCGGTTGGACTGCCGGCTGAACTACTGGTTGGGCTGCGGCCAACGCGGCGGCGGGGTCTACGTCGGGTTCGGCTGCGGGCTCGGCAGCAGGCTCCTCCCCATTGGGCAGACCAGCACGAAGCTCATCAATACCCTCCTGCAGCAACAGGATTGCTTGCTCACGTTCGTATTGGCTTGGGTGTTGTTGCGCCAGGGTCATCTGGAAGTGATACCTGAGCATCTCGACAGCCCGAGCAGCTAGCTCTGGGGTAAAAAGGCCCGAGGCCGGGGGCTCTTCTCGATCCGCCATTCTTATAGAGATGATATTGTTTGAAGTAGGTATTCTCATTTGAAATAAGCTGTATCAGTGAATTTGATCTCAGAAGTAGGCGGTATGATGAAGTTGGGAAAAGGAGGATGGGCGGATGATGGAAGAAATAAATATACAGGAACTTAGGTAGGTACCTAAGGTACTGAAGAAATTTGTGTATCTAGGGGTACAACAGCTTTTCGAGGCAGGAAGGAGTAGTGAAATGTTTGTAAGGCAGGTACAGTTGGAAGTTAGTAAGGTAGGAGCAGCTTAGATAACCCACTGGTAAGGCAGGAGCTTAATGAAAAAATTCGTTAGCTAAGGGTTGAACTACTCTGATTGGAAAACCCTAAAAAATCGTGGCAGGTGGGGACGAACGTAACAAGTATTAGGTATAATCGCCCAGTATACTTGGTGCTTGACAGGTATAGGCGGCGTCTGTCAGTGTTGTCAGGTGGGCGTATACTCCTCAGTAGTATCTTTGGTGAGTTGTATCTTATCTCTAACGATCTAGGCTCTGATGAGCGTGACGTCTTAGGACTTAGAATATGCTGTAGCGTTCTCTTCTGTAACATCTTTACTTGGATATTTGCCTGTAACTATATATACACTATAATCGTACGCACTGTAATTATTAAGGCACGTCCTTCTAAGGCTCCTTTAAAGTCTTAATATATGGGCTTTTAGTGAGTAACGGTAGAATGAGGCTTCGTCTCAAACAATGGAATAGGACTGCTATGTGAGACAGGGAACTATGGGTTAAAATTGAGATATGGGCATATGGCCCCCGATTCAACAATGTCTACAAGATCCCAAGCACACAGTATGTAATTGGCAATATGAAATGCAAATATGCGTTGGATTTGCGTTATGATGCGCTTATAAAGAGTTTAGGTATTAAAGATGTACTCCATATTAGCTTCCGACTTTTTGATAGAGCAATCATAAAAGCTATGGTATGGTTAAGAGACCATCGGTGGCATTTTTAAGTTGCAAAGCAGATTATCATCTCTCGACAACAATTATTGTTTGCATAGGTAACAATTTCTATTTATCTAGTTTATAATTCATATGGAAATGTGGTTATTTAAAGAATATTATATTATATTTGACTTACAAGAGTGTGTGAATGTTATAATGCTAAGGAATAGTGGGTTGGGAGTAAATTCAGGGGTAATTTAAGGTTGGGTATATAAGAGGCACGTAGCACCTTGGAAAAAGGATAGAAGGACATGCGTTAATAGTTCAGTTATATTTATCCTGGGATTCACTTTATGTATTGCATCAATCAAGGGTATTAATCTGCACATACAAGCTACACCAATAACTAGTGGTATTGTAGCAAATAGCCGCCAGCAGGAAGACTGGATTATTTACGTTTTTATAACATTGGGAATCGTGGCAGTAATAAAGTGGATAAGTTCTGGTTATCCCTCAAAAGAGTAGCACACATGGGCCTTGTTTATCAACTTTACAGGGCTGGTAGATATCCCTACCAAGTATTCTTAATGTAAAGCTAACAAGGTATTATTATTGTAAATATCAACATAATACTTAAACATTTACTGTTATGATTAAATCTAAACTAATAGACTACCTCTTGAACTAGCGCGGAACACCTTTAGAATCTGAGATACAAACGCTTAGGCTGTTTGCGGAGAATTTGATAGCCTGTAGGACTATGGTCTGTTTATCAGTAAAGAGGGCAAACATCTATAACTATCAAATATCGTATAGCATGGAGTGAAAGACAGCGGCCTAGCCAGTAGTATGGTTGGCGACTTTATTGACCTGTGCCCCTTCTAAGAATGGGGGAAAGCATGCACTCTCTATATTATAGACATAGTATCTAGCGCATACCCTACTGGGCAATCCTATTACATACATTCTAGCAATAGTATATTGTTAGAGAGAGAAAGACTACCTGCCGCGGGATTCTGGTTGGAGTGGACTTTCTAGCGTATTTCCTTTTCACTTCTGATAGCACGTACTACTAATCTGTATATATTTCTGTTAGAAGGCTGTATATGATTGCCTTGAACTATAATTCTAGCAAACAATTGTTCTAGAATAGCCGTTTCTCAGATATAGATTTGGTAGGGTATCAAAGTCGGTATCAATATTGAATATACAGTACTGCCGGGCTCTTCAGACTCAAATACCACGACCACATACGCAATAAGCCATATACACCATTCTATAGCTATTATTTCAATTCAAAGAATCGCAACGGCTCCAAATAGCCTTACCAAATTTGGGGGTAGCGTATGTATTTGCCCCCTTTTTAGTTTTCTCTCTTGGTTAATCACGATCGATGACTTTTAAGTTGCGAAACGGAAATCGAGTCTATCAAACGAATAAGTTAACAGGTTTTGAGACTGACAAGAGGGGATATCTTACCGCTTGTTACCCTTATCGGTCGTGGTCTTCCTGTAATTGTCTTGTTCTTCTGGAGTCATGGCATCCCACTTCTGCGCCTTTGAATTATTTCTCCAACGGTAGTAATAATATGTACCCGGGTATTGTATTATCTGTAAATAGTTGAGTATTCTCTTGTAAATAAGTAGATAGGGGCTTGCGGTGCTATAAGTACTTACACACATCCAGACACAGATAACTAGTAAACCCTTGTTCGCTTTGAAGTATCGCGGCGAGTCGCTAGGTTGGTAGACTATAAAGTTAGCACTTATACTCTTTTTATCGAAGGGAAAACTTACTGTTCGCACCGATCATTCCACTAACTTGAACCCACATGTTGTAAATACTACACGAGTTAGTATGAGTGATGACACGCTGTAAGGGGAGGAGTGGCTTACGCAGCAGAGACTGTTCTGTTCTGGACGGATCCCGCATTCCTACTCGTCCAGGCGACTTGTATAGGATGGGTGCTTAAACTCCGTTAGTTCCTGATCACTTCCCCCTTTTGGTGTGGTACTCACTATGGGAATGATAGCAACACTGTTGCAATGGCGAAGTACGCCCAAGGGCTTATCGGATCTGGCAGGGCTATCAAAGCAGCGAAACATGGTAACAACCAAGCATCTTCCGCCATCGATACGAAACTCCTATTATTTACCAACTCGCTTACCGCAGTGATGATTAGCATGGATATGCTAGAACCGACGATGTTCGGAATCGAAAGTAAGTTAGTCTGGATGACGTTGAATCCCAGGCCTCGGAAGGAAAGCGTCAAGTATTGACCGACGGGATATTTCGGTATGCCGAATAATAGACCTAGAGCGTACAATGGCCACATGTCGTAGTCTTTCGCACTTTCCCATATTTGTTTGACGGAGAGACCTTGTCGATTATACATTCCTCCCTTCTGGGGGTCGTCTCGGATAACTAGGAGTAGAGTTAGAAACGAGTTATATATAAATGCATATACTCGACAAGCTTACCCGAGTTGACAATAATCTTCTCTTCCTTCTCGGTGAAATACCCTTTAGGGTTCCACCAGCTCTTTGTCCTAGCCGGAGATTGAGGCATGAGAAAGAAGGAAGCAACTCCAACCAAGACTATAATAGGGTTAGTATCGCAGGCGTTAGAAGTGTAGATCATCCTTACAAGTAACAACGCCCCTAATAATGTTAGCCATAATCATATAATTCGCGGAGCCTATGACTTACTCAATGAGGAACAACCATCGCCAGCCTTCGTACCCCAAGATACCGCGCATGGATAGGAGACCAACAGCAGCGAAACCGACACCGATGTCAACTAAAAGAAGAGATCAGAGAAGTACTTTAAGTTTAAGTTATAATGATCTAGTTACCTAGTTGTGAAGACATCCAGTACCAAGCTAACCTGATAGGAAGCTAGGAAAGTCAGCATAGCCCCTCCATAGCCTCCCGATATACATGTTGCCCAAGGGGAAGGTTGCTTACCGATCTACCGGTATAGAAGTAACTGAGGTAGAGGATCGTGTCCCTATCAAAAGGTTAGTAAAGCTATTAGGCCCTAAACATGCAACGAAGACTTACGGGATAAAACCACCTTGGAACGTTGCTCTAGTTTACGTGTCAGCCAAAGTCCATACCGCCAATAACAGCTCAACCCACATTAAGTATCTAGTAGCGAGGAAAGAAGCTCTGCCTTTAAGGAAGAACTGCATTGCTGATATAACGCTGAAAATGCATATTTGGATAGGAATCCATAGATCGGGACCGATACTAGAAGATTCAGTTAACTAAACTCTTAGAACATTAACTACTCCGAGAACTAACCGCTTAGAAATCAGTTGGGAGGGCAGTTCCGCTACTAGAAAGCCAACTCGCGATATGGTTTGACCGGTATTCTATTAATCATTAATATCGGACACTTAACAAGCAGCTAACGATGCAGCTTACGTAGTCGGCCTTACTAAGGCCCAAGTCTTCCAGCATGTTGTCCGAGACGGCGTTGGAAATATTTCCTCGGTCGATGTTGAGAGCAGCAAACATAATACAAACCCAGACCTAGACAGTCAGCGTCGTTATTTTTCCTACATTCAGACACTAACCATGATCTTCCAGTCAACCTTCCGTCGCACCGCTCTCTCTTCTCTCCACGTCCACCGGAAACCAGGGTCGAAAGCAGACCAGTTCTCCCATTGGGGATGGATGTAGAGCTGTTTTAATTCTTCCACGTTCTCGGAATCCCAGATACTGGGTTGTGTTGCGATCTTGGTCGAGTTAGCTATTAGTTCTAGTTATGTATTAAGCCCAAGGTCTTTACGAACCGCATCGAGGTCGTACGGTTCAGTCTTCGGACCTTTTCGAAGTCTCAAGAAACGCAGAATAGCATCGCCAAGCACCGATTCCATACGCCCCGTCTCTCTTGGTGCCAATGCTGCCGGGGTGGGGGGAGTCATGTCGCCGGGAATCTTGTCGTCGGGAAGGCCTTTGGATCTCACGCTGTCATAGTCGGACGTTGCAGCGGACCCGGCACCCGGGGGCGCGGTAGCCGGTTGTTGAGAAGACATATTGCCTCTATAATCAAAGGAGAAGGATATTATTGCACAAATCACTTCTCAGGAATAACAAATCGAGTATATATTAATAAGGGGGCGCAGAACTGAAAGGCCTGACAGATGTTACGTAGAACGTGTACCCTTCATCTATATAAGGATTCATCAATCAACCAGTCGACGCGTCAAACAAGGGGTTCCAGACACCCGGGCAGATGGTCAAGGACCGAGACGCATTGCCTAGCGGCCCAAGTGGAGGGCGTTATAAGATAGCATTAACTGGAAAACGTGATAGGTAATACTACGTATTATTAGGAGATCCAGAGGGACTTCTACACCCTCACGGTTTACATTTCGGTCGAATGTCCGGTAATACCCCACTGTGAGAATGGTGACATTGCGATTTATTGCCAAACTCAGCTAAGATATCCCGAGGAGATCCAGAATATGTTGAAAAGTAATATAGGATCTGCCAAGAGCGTTGCGCAATATGGATACCAGCGCACGCCATTCTTCCCCATCGCTAACTTCGACTCGATCCGGGAAACTTTCTATCCCTGGGGGTTGAAATTTATTTCAGTAGTAACTTTATCCATTAAATATTTGAATTATGTAGGTACCTAAGGCAACTTTCCTTTGAATTATTCTTTTTATACATATGTCCTTAAACACCTGCGTGATGCAGGTACATATTCCACTTATTTGTATTCGCAAACCAAGGCTTTGAAAAGACTTAGGATACACTACCTTAACGAGCAACGCACAGTATCTCTTGAACACTTGAGGACGTAATAAAATATTTTTTTGAGTATCTAAGAATTTGATCGTGAACTGCCACTGTGGGGTACAACTGTAATCGGTTCTTGTCAGCTGCTATCGTATACTTATTGTATATCGGCCTGTATGTTTGCTACGTATTTTTGTCGGCTATTTTCGTCACCATGGATACAGCAAATATTAGTACTTGTTAACACCAAAATACACATCGCGATTCCTACGGGCGCACATTCTAAGATCCCTCATACACCAAACTACCCAAATAGATTGAAAACAGAACCAACAACAGAACTCTTCGATTAATAGTCAAACCCCGTCGGCTATTCTAAACCCGGATCAGCAATGTCTTATTATTACGACAGCCAGCATGGCCCCGGCTCCAGGGATCATCTCATCGTTCCGGAAACGGTAAATAAAACTTGGTCTGATGTAGTTGACCTGTTAGCTAACCTTATCGTAGCTTCTCGGAGCACCACCGACATCTCAGTCATCAGGGCTGGTGGTTGGACTCACCGCCGAGCTTCTCTGTTCAATATTTGAGCTTCTCGATCCTCTGGATAAGGTCTCTCTAGCCTGTTCCTGCAAGCACCTCTTACACATCTCACACCTCCACACCCAACGACAAACCCGAACGTTTGGTAGCCGTCTGCTCCTATTGCTGTCGGCATCGTCCGACGAGGAGGAGCCACTGGGGGCATATACGGGGCAAATTCCCTAAACATCGGCACTGAAGGACGGTTGACTCTAATGTCATATCTTGGGGACATCATTCATGCATTCAACGCCCCGGGTGTTTATTGGAAGAGGAATTACGCAAAAGGGAGAAGGACAACGCACTTGATCGGAAAACAGCCTTAGGCAATTCCATCTGAATGTATCTTACGTACTTGCTCATCCCTAATAAAATCGCCCTTTTTCGTAATAAGGGATAAACTGATATTAGAATTTTCTCGTTAAAAGTGAGGCATCTACATTAAAGAAAACCACTCCATAACAAAGAAGCCGGAATATAATACATTGTATAATACATTGCTTACTTTACCTTCGGGGTTTAGTCATGATAGTGGTGGTTAAGCTCATGCTGTACACATGTTGCGGCCGCATTATATTTCTAGGCATTTAATTCTAGCAAGGCAAGTCCTCCGAGTCACTTCTGGTCCCGGCTTTTAAAGCATCTGCCTGCCGGATCAATGCTTCGTGTCCAGCACTCCTGGGCTTGATGCTGGCCTGGAATGGAAATGGCTGGCTGACAGTGCCCGCTGTGAACCTTGCCTCTGGTTCAATTACCTCGCCCGTTTCAGCCACCACTGGTTTAGCTATGTCAAACACTGCAAGGGTACAAGCAATGGCTAGCCAGACAGACGACTCCCCGAGCAGCATGGCGGGACAGGTGCGCCGCCCAAATCCAAAGACGAAGTCGCGCGGATCGGGGCAGGGATCGGGGCCAACGTAACAAGAGGGATTGAAGGATTCCGGATTGGGATATGACTCTGGGTCGTGGGTGAACCACCTGGGTGATCTAAATCAGTAATAGTCCCGACAAACAGGGTACAGCGGAATTATAGATTGTTGGAGCATTCAGGTGCCCGTTGCTTACCATATATTCGCAATAACTAGCGCGCCTTTGGGAATAAAATAGCCGTCGCATATATCGTCCTCGGTTGCCACACGAGGCACGCCGAGGGGCCCGACCGGGTGCCAGCGGAAGGCTTCTGTCACAACTGTTTCTATGTATGGGAGGTTCTGTCGGTCGTCAAAGGTTGGAAGCCTATGTGTTCCAATGACGCGATCTATCTCTTCTCGGGCCTTTACTTGAACTTCTGGATATAACAGCATGGCAAGGAAGAAATTTGTTACTGTAGTGCCACTCTAGTTTGTAGATATTAGCAACAACTCATACATGACGCTTGTGAATGTACAACACAGACATAGGTGTAGTTATGACGGGGGACAATGGAAGAGAAAACCCACAGTATCAGCACCTGCGGCATATAGGGAAACAGCGCTCCATTTTATCAGGTCTTCTTCGTCACTGGTTGCTAAGTCGCCTGCTTGCTCGTATAGTGAGGATACAAAACTGGGTTTGTGGTCACCCTGTGCCATCCGTTTGTGGACAAATTTATTTGGTTTGTCCACGAATTCTAAAAGCGTTGCCTTCCATATTTTGGCCGTTTTCTTAAATCCTGCCCCGGGCATCCAATTTGGGAGATACCGAACTGTGGAAAGGTTAGGAATGATGCGGTCAAGCTTAGGTACCCAGGGACATCACTAACGAGCTGGTATCACATCTACAAGCCAGGCACCTGGCACCGTGGCTGCTGCGAACTGCTCGTTAAGTCTATCTGCAAGGTCGACAAGGGGATCGAACGTATGGAGCTCGATCGTGTACCCATAAGTCAGCTTTAGGATAATAGCACCTGATAAACTGCCATGCGATGATCAGTTAATGCTGGTAGCTATAGATGTTTCGACCTCTTACGACAGGGCGTGCTTGTCAATATCTTGTGGGTTTCCTAGAATGCGCAATAAAAAACGCTTCACCTCGGCGTTTTGCAACGGACAGAAGCGTGCCACGGCGCTTTTCGTCCCAAGTACAGCGAACATGCATTTTCGGTGAGCGCGAAGGTGATTTCCGTAGGGTATGATAGCTGTCATGTTCTCCCATCCGCACCTGTACTATATTAGGTTGTTTTCTTAAAATTGACCATTTACTGTGGGGGAAGGGTACTACTGACATCTCTCCTCCAAATACCATACGTGGTCTTGAAGAATAGATCGCCGAACGCTTTTCTAAAAGCTCTAAGGCCAACCGAGCCGAATGTAGAAGCACCATATTCGTTCCCATCACAGTCACGGAGCTGATAGGTCCTGTAAAAATAATAAGATGTCAAAATCATAGGCACTCATATTAAGGGATGTATATAAATTGGTAGATGCATAACTATTACCTACCGTAAAGGTCATTATGCTTCAACCAGTGTTCCCATTCTGGAAACCCAGGTCGTGGCATGTCTGAGATGTTGCCCACAACAGGCCATGGTTTGGGACCTGGAGGCAATGGGTGTGATCTTTTTCTTCCGGATGAGAGAAATCTGGTGAACCTTAGTATAATGACACCTAATAGAACAACCACTAAAGTAAGAACGGCAGACACCATCGTCAAATCAAGCAAGGAAAGGTCTGCTAGGGGAAGATGATGTGAGTGTACGTGGGAATGTGTTAGAGTGACTACTAGACTAAAAGGCAACGTATAACGGTATAGTTCTTATCTGTTATGTACGACTAAGTGCTACTCAAGTATTATAAGGTATTTTTACTATGCCTACACCTTCTTAAAAATAAAAAAAAAAGTCTTTATTATTAGAATTATTTATTTTACCTTGTTATATAAATACTTACTTTAGTATGAATCTGCAAGTAACTATTGTATTGGTGTGACTTTAGGTAGGTAGGTTAGGTACTTTATAACCCCGCGGCTTTGGAGATTATAACAGCATGTAACCTACCTATTCATATTATGTTGGACATGTGGATGCATGCTAGCTGGAATTGCGTCGCTAGCTTTGGACGATTCGTGGAAATAGGCAAACGCGAGCTCATCGATGCTGGCAGACTGGATATGAGTATATTTTTACGAAATACAACGTTTACTGCATTCGACTTGAGCGATCTGTTCTATCATGACAGCAAAACTCATCGGGATATTCTTTCGAAGTGAGTCTTCACTCAGCTAAATCATATATGGCATATACTTGTTACCGCTTAGCACTATGAAAGAAGTGCTTGAGATGTATCGAGCAGGTGAGATTCAGCCGGTGCCTATCACGACATTCGACGCATCAGACATGGTCCAGGCCTATCGCTATTTCTCTTTAAAAGACAGAGTTGGAAAGGTTGTTATCTCCTTAGAAAACCAGTCGAGTCGCATACCCGTAAGTCCTCCTACGTTGTCATTTTGAAACAGACCGAAAGGCTTATTATTCTAGGTTGCGCCACCAAAGTATCTAACGATCTTTGACCCTGAGAAGGCCTATGTGCTCATAGGTTGTTTAGGTGGTTTGGGGCGGAGCCTTAGCGATTGGATGCTGGGACGAGGTGCACGGCATTTTGTCTTTCTCGGACGTACAGGCTGTGATAAGCCAAGTGCTCATGAGCTTGTCTTTCGCTTGCGAGATGCTGGAGCTAATGTTACTGTAGTCAGGGGTGATGTTTCTGACATAGATGCTGTAAATGCTACGATAGCCGCATGCGAACACAAGCCGATAGGTGGTGTCGTACAGGCGGCGATGGGGCTTCATGAGGCCTTGCTGTTGCGAAGGGGAATCCAGCCATTGAACGAAGACGAGTTCCTTCAAATCATCGACCTAGCAATTGTACAAGAAAAAGGTGCATCGTACAAAGGTGCATCGTACAAACTAAAAAAAACTAAAACAACTAAAACAACAAGATCCAGGAACATCACATATCCTTACGGGGCTAGAACCCTTTCGAGTGCGTGAACTAAAGACCCAAGGGTTTGACGTCAGCCACGGCACATTGCAAGACCCGCGCGCTAGCATAATCGCTACTGCATTCAGAGGGCCCCATGACGACAGCAAAAGCAATATGTACATGCAATAATCAAATAAATGCGTCTAGCCAGATTCAGATTGCCGATATACAGTGGTTAAAAGAGGCGCCGGCCAGCGTAGTCAGCGTAGCTGCCATCTTAGTCGCAGAAATGGATGCTCCGTCGCTACACGATGCAGTCCTTCGTGTAACAAGGAAGCAATTCTCGAATTTAATCCTGATGCCGCTGGAGCGGATCGAGAATGGCAAACCGCTACTCGACTTTGGCATCGATAGTATGATCGCTGCCGAGTTCCGTACCTGGGTCTGGACAGCTTTCAAGGTCGATATCCCTTTCCTTGATATTTTAAGTCCACATAAATCCCTTGGTATGCTCAGCAACTTCATCGCCGCGGAGTTGGAGAAAGGGCGGGCGTAAATAAATATATTCTCCACTTATAATCATTAATTATTCAGGGTATATAGGAGTGATATAACATCGCAGCTAGCTCATTAACCCCATCGGTCAGTTGACCAGAGGCAGTATAGTATCGTCAAACCCACCACCAACCAGACCAACCTATCTGTTATAAATACACGTCTGGTTTAGTCCGCCAGACAGGTATCAAGGTATATATATGTACTTGGTATATGAAAGCCCTCATCGGGTAGTGGTATCTCGCATTCGCATCCGCATCCGCATCCGCATCCATCCGTCCCAAACGCCCATCGCTTGTCCAAGATATCATCTTACTTATATACAACCCCCCTTCTCCCTCATAGGGCATAATTCTCCGTATGCAAGAAAATCTCCTCAAGCATCGGATCGCCCCAAATTTCCGCCTGTAGTCTGGCCACGGTCGTCGCAACACCTTCCCTCATGCTCGGCGGACCACAGACAAACACCGCCGTCCTTCTGCCCAGAATTCCTCTCCCGTCCGATCCCCCTGTCGTCCACTCCCGCAGCATGTAGCCCAGATCCGGTCGCCCGTACTCAACACTCCACCCCCCATCGATCTGGTGCGGCACTGGAAACGCGAACCGCATTAGGCTCTTTTGGAACTCCGTCGGCGTCTCTGGGAACCCAAAGTCGAACCCGGATGGCGGGCCGAACGTCGATGTAGGACGTGCTTGTGGGGGTGGTGCTGGAGGTAGGTTTGTCGTGCGCAGGTGAGCGAACTCGGGTGGTCTTAGGACAGGCTCAGAAGGTTCGCCTAGAACGTTTTCCGGACTGGGAGTCGGTGGGAGTCGCCGCGGTGATGGCGGCGCGTAGTTGAAATGCGGTTGCTTGTCCGGGTGCGTCTGTAGCGGTGGGAAGTGGAATTCTCGCTTAGGCTTGTCTTCGGGGTATTCGTCCGCAGGAACCGGTGCTGGCTGCTCTTGATTTTCGGTATCGCTAAGATCCCGACCTTCGAGTCTGCGAAGAGACTCCTCTTGGGCAGAGAGGCGATTTGAAGGTGGTGGGCCTTGCGGCGGGATGTGATGTGGCTGCAGGTATTTTTGTTGGGGAAGGGCAGTAATTCTGTCTTCATCCTCTGCCCGCAGCTCACGCTCGTAGTCTGGGTTGCCCTGCGCTTCATCCCTTATTAGTTGAGAATTGCGCTTCAAGGCAATACCCGCCACGAATCCGTCTAATCTATCATGAAACATATTGCTGAGTGGCCGGGGTGCGCGTTCACGAGGAGGCGGGGCTCGAGATTGTCTCTTAGCTGCGGTGACAAAGAACTTGCACGTCACGCTCTCCGGTGGTGCAGAGTCTCGGCAAATACGCAACTCTTCTCGGAACCAATCCATCGCCTCAAGTCGTTTAAGAGCCCACACGACCACTACTTTCTTAGTAATGGCCTTTCCATCTCGCATACGCTTAATCAAGTTCAATAACTGCGACATGAGCGCAGTCACACCGCTTCCACCGGCAATCAGAATACATGTGTCGAACGCAGCCAGCTCCCGGCGCATGCCTCCATACGGGCCATCAAGATACGCCCGATACGTATGGAACGGTCCCTTATCGATGGCAGTTTCCAACACTCGTCGCGTAAAGCCGCCATAGGGTTTAAATACCAAGGTGCAGTCTCTATACTGCTCGCCATATTCAGAAGGGAAATCCTCGCTACAGAGCGACGAGATAGTAAACGGATGATTATCGAGGAATGATATGCCGGGCATCCGTAGATAGACATACTGCCCGGGCTTCCATTTCATCTGCGTAGGAATCGTGATCTTAATAGCGTTCTCGGTCATCAGAGTGATAGCTGCTTCGTCTCCCACCAAAAACGACATCCGCCACGGCTTGATCCAGTTAAGCTTGAATACTCGAATGAAATAGCACAACACCCAGATAGCTATCGTGGCGTATAGGTAGTCCCAAGACGCCAAGTAGTTTTTCGTATGCCAGAAGAGGCAGCCAAGGTACACGAGCCCGACCGGGACATGGAGTGAAACGAAAACTTCGTAGGCCATCCTACGAATAAAAGGAAGTGAGGCAACGCAGAGCCAAAGCAGCGGGACCAGGCATGCGATACCAGTACCATAAATAACACCACTTCCCTCGGGGAACAGCTTCGAGAAAACCAACATACCACCGTCATCCCAGACAGGCTGGATGTAAAACGGAATGGTATGCACGAGAACGAGGAACAAGCAAATGTATCCGGCCCATCTGTGAAAAACGTTAAGTCGCTCGGGCCCGATCCCCGTGATAAGTGTGAGCAAGTTCGCCTTCATGCTAGTCGCAACGATCCAAGGGGTCATAGCAATCGCAATCATACCCGCACGGATCGCCACGGGAGGCGAGCCGTACTGGATGCTATCCCAGTAAAGCGGCTGCTTAAGGAACACGTACAGGGACACGAATGCGAGCGCGACGAACCCGACGAACAATACGGCAAGCGACGAAAACGTAAACCGGTGCTTCCTCCACACGATATCCGGTATGGGTCTATAGAAGACCCATCTAAAGAGAGCGAGCGTGTCTAAGATGGGCCCGACGGCGGAGAAGTCAGACTTGGGCTTAAAATCCTTCTTCTCGCCACCTCCGGGTTCCTCGGGGAAGAACTGTCTTCCGGTGTGGCCCGTGTGCATGGTGGTCGGAAGCACATACTCGGGATCGAGGCTGTATACATCTCGGTAATGTTGTTCCACCTCTTGCTTATATATCGCCTGTCGGATCTTATCTTGCCACCAATGCCATATCCGTACCAATACCACCAACGCCATTAGCGCGAGACTGAAGTAAGTCCATCCCAAGCCATACTTTCCCGACTGACTCCACGGGTCGACTGTATTCGCTTCCACCAGGCCTGGCGGGCTTGTCGCCGTTAATGGGATGTATATCCTCTTCGCGAGTTCCGAAAGCGTTCTCGTCGCTCCAGCCATGGCTGATGCTGCGTCTTCCGCCATTATTAGGGACAGAAGATGGGAAGTGGTGTGATAGGTTCATTAATACCGCGCCCCCAATTCCTACTAAGCCAACCAGCTCCAAACCTTTGGCTTATACGGGACCTTTAATTCTTGGAAAGCCCACGTTAACTCTTAATTCCTTCTAATATATTTCCTTGCTACATGGGTGAGAATTGATAGTATTCTTTCCGCGCTGACATGGGCACTAAATATAATCCTGGGAGTAAATTGGAACGAATGAAGTCCTATGATATAGCGCGTGATGAGGAATGCCAGACTCCCCAGTTCACAGAATTAAAAGACACTGAAGGATAGCAATGGTAGCCATTGAATAAGATGGCGACGAGAGGGCAACGACGACGAGAGGGCAAGCAGAAAAAGAAAGAAATCCCGGATCGACAATGGGGATGAGTGCCGGGGAACGACAGGTAAGTATATATTATATCAAAGCGAGCAGGGAATAGCCAGGATGAATAGCCAAGATCGCGGTGACAGGGTGACAGGGCGACAGGGCATCAGGGTGGGGAATTAGATTTCGTTTTGGACAGATAAGTCGAGTTAAGTCGAGTAAAATGAGCAAAATGAGTAAAATGAGTAAAGCTGTATGCAAGAGGTGCCAATATGGTAGTAACCTAGTAGTGTATGCAGAAATATGCGACAAGGTTGTCAAGTCTCTTCCGTCACACAACTACCACATTGGGCCCTGCGATCTCCTTGCAGGCCTTGCAGGTCTTGCAGGATGCCCAATAGGAGTTTTGCGAGATTGGCCTCGTGGGAAGAGAGGTCAAAGCTAGTGTGTGGATTGCAATCGGTTGATGAGCAAGACTACCCACCATCCCACCCAGCGGTTGGCCGTACCTCGATATTGGCTGGCTGCTGTTGGCGTCCTTCGAATGGGAAAATGGGAGATTTTGTTCCCCGCAGAGCTGCACGAGTTCTAGTCCATCTGCACGTTCCACGGAACAAGCGTCGGCGCTAGATTTTTGTACATATCGCCCAGGGGTCCTACCCAGGTATTATATAGTATGCACCTACCTAGGTATGCATTCTTCTATTGTAGGGAATAAGAAGCTACCTAACCTAGGTATTGTACCTTCTGTAGCTCACGGGAGGATTTGCCGTGCCGGTACGTTGGCAAGGGTCCATAGTTCTGTGCTAAGTTGTGCATATGTACGCACTATGTCGCATTTGCATCATGCAGATCTACGAGCTAGGCAAAGCTTCCCGTGGCCGTGGGTGACAAGTAGCGATAGAATACATAGGGATTGATAAGCAATAAGAAGGTTATTGTTGTTGTTATTGTTGTTGTTGTTGTTGTTGTAACTAGTTGCTTGTTGCTAATTGAAGACAAAAATGATTTCCTTTAGGTACTTAAAAAGCTAAGGGAAATAGGATTTCGATCGTGACTTCTCTCCAAAAGGGACGTTACACCGTAAGGATTACCCCGTACGGAACACTATGTACGTGATAGTAGGTACGTGATAAGCTTGTTGTCGTCATTCGGCGGTTATTGTGCTCCGACCGACAAACCGATGAACCGCTGCAGCCACTTACGCCATTGGGCCAATCTAATAACGTCCATGCGATAATTGACCATGCTAATTCCATCGGCCGATTGGGAGTTTGCGGCCAAGCGAGGTTCAATCAAGGCCTGTCGAATAGGGAGCGGGAGCAGCTGTATTCGCCTAGGGCTCAGCGATATAAGCAAGGAAATTAACCTTTGGGGTCTGCAGGCTTGGGATGACGAAGCGACGGGATTGGAGGCAAAAGCAAATAGGGCCCGGCGCTTAATCGCGCCTTTTGATTTGCTGACATTTAGGTAGGTACCTAGGTTACCTAACTTACCATCCATTCTCCACCCGAGCTCTAATAGCTTAAACTGGAAGTCTTAGTGACCAAATAAACGACAAATGTCAAATATCTCTCCAAAACCACGAACTTGTGATTGTGTGATAGACTTATAGCTTGCAGTCATTTTAGCACGCATTCCCACCTTTTAAGATAAAGCGGCAATTCTCAACCAATACAATAGGCTGTTTTGAGGATTGCCTTATCAGATAAGATAATCATATATTTAGCATGCCGAGTTAGTTTTTATTAAGGGCTAAAACTCACGCACCGATTAAGATGAATGGAAGTTTTACGCCTCAGCTCTACTGCTTAACAGCTGCTATTAGCATAGGTATATAAGACATATAGGATCCCGCGCTACCCGATCCATTAAATAGATGTAACTTTACAGTACATAGTAGGGAACAAGTGTTGATAGCGCGCGTCCGATTTAATATGACATGCAAATCATCCCGCCATCATCTTAAAGGCATGCTACTGTATAGTACAGATAAAATGGCATAGTTACATAAAGGAGCAATAAAGTTAAGTAACCTATTACTGAGATAAGTTTGTTAAGGACGTAATTAACATTGATTGGTTTAGTAAATTTTCTAATAACTAAGCATAGTATAATGCTTTAAGTACATAATCCCACCACAGTTCCTACTTGATGTGGTCTGATAAGTTAAGTTTTGACTAACCCTTTAAAAGAGTGATATGAATAAGGTTGTTTTATCAGCCTTGTAGCCTCGAAGCATTGCTGCAATTGCCGACTTGCTGACTTGCTAACTTGCCCGACTATAAAACATTAAAGAGTTAATATTTAGGTAGGTTTGGCATAAGGGACGGGATATGGGTTAAGAAGTATTCTTCGCCTGTTGAATTAAAAGTTGTCTTTTCATTCTTTAAAATTCAGCGTTAGTAAAGGAAACAATAAGATACTTACTATTTAATAACAACCATCCGCATTATCAAACGCATTGGTAAGTTGTATTTTGCAAACAGTTTTGAGGTAGTCCCTCTCGTTTGTGGTAGGCTGGCTATAAATTCAAGGCATTCCGTTAGCGAATCAAGATTACAACAAATAACAAATATTAGACTAACTTATTAGCCCTCCTTCTTCCACCTCCAGAGGAACTCCGTAGCCGCCTCTAAATAATTAATGCCGCTTTCGCGAGCATTTTTATGTTGGTCCTTACGTTTTTTAAAGAAACACGTGTTGGCGGTGTTGAATTGCTTCTCCATCCCCCATATTGCCTCATGTTTTTTGAGGGCCTATCAAGAATATTAGTAAGCTTTTATCTATAAGAAAATGATTAAGAAAATTTGTTTCTTACGTCGACGGGGGGTTGTGGGGGCTGTACGACCGGTTGAGCGGCCGGTCGAGCTGCGGGCTGGTGGCCGGTATTTAATTCTTCAATACCCTCCTAAAGCAACTGGATTGCATATTCACGAAGCTCTTGGTTAGCTTGCTCGTGTAGCAAATCCATATGAAAATGCAGGCCAACGACCTCGGCAACCCGAGCAGCTATCTGGGGGGTGAAAAGACCGGAGGCCTGGAGTTCTTCTCGATCCGCCACCACCCCATACCACGAGGAGAACACCTCATAGTAAAACTGCCCTGGCGCTGGCTTTACCAGCGCGGCGCCGTCCGCATTGTCATACGCGGCGGTAACTTCAATTCCGCACACGCTTTCAAGGTAATCCTTGTCACCCGCGGTGGGCTAGCTATAAGTTAAATTAAGTAGTTATTACTAGATCTGTCAGTATGGCTATAATAATATATAATACTTAATAGTTGAGACATACCGTTAAGTAATAGTTTAATGACTTTTCCAAAGTGTAAAGCCCCATAGTTTTTAAGAGGTTAGAGTTAAAAAAGTGTTGACGTAGTATATTCTTGTTGTAGAATGCACGACGCTGTACTGCATGTATAAGTAGGCTGGAAGAAGACGAGTTAGAATAAGGCTCACAGGAGTAAAAAAAAAAAAAAGTATGAATACAGCGCAGAAGAATAGAGGGGAGTTAGAGGGAGAGGGGACAGAGTATATGAAGATAAGATATGATGTGGAACTCAAGTGGGAACTGCAAAATAATAAAGCAGGTGAAGGTAATATGTGTAAAGGTAAGGTGAAGGAAACAAGGTATAATAGAAAACCAGCAACAGTGGCACGGGAATAAGGATAAAGCAGAACAAGATGGGGGAAGGTACATGAGAATAGGAAATGTGAAAACAAGACTTACCAGTATAAAAGAGTGTACAGTAATGATTAGTGTTGTGGATTTACTTGGAAAATATAAGCGTAAAAGGATAAGGGTGTGTTGGTTGTAAGTTAAGAGTATAAGTGCCCATGTTGAAAAATGCGATAGGAAGCTGGGTATATGAGGTTGTTGGTAAATATAGTAGGCTGCTTTGAATGTAGGTAGGTTGTATAAAAGTTAGGTATTTAAGATTATATGAAGACATGCTGTTTGAAGTCTGAGTTGTATGAAGATGGAAGTAGGAGAAGGAAAGGTTCTGGTGGTGAGGAGGACCCCCGAAATATATAGAAAACCGCGATCAGTCTACAGACTTTTTTCACCGCCCTCGGTAGAATAAACACTGACTAGGCAACCACTCAGAAAGAAGGAACGAGGCAGCTGCGCTACGAAAGAGCAACTACGAGGTAACTACGAAGCAACTGCAGAACCGTGAATCATGTCACTTTCGACAAAATACATGTCCGTGCACCCTTGTAACTGGTCAGTACCTACCTCCCTGTGAAAACCCTTCAGAAAAGAACAAGTACCCGTATTAGCTCCTTCCTTCTATTAGTAGATAACGCCTTAGGGTCCCTGGTGAACGGTCAACACGAGGAGGTTTCTAAGGCATCAACTTCCGCAGCATAGGTGGCCCGTGATGATGATGATACACAAACAAGTTTTATTAGAAAGCGCGTCGTAGAAAGGCCTCACGGAGTACCTTCTTCATGACGGTTTAAGATACGTACTAGCTATGGTAGTATTCTCATGAATGTGTTTACCTAGGTAGGTACCTAAAATCAACTAGTAGAATGTCACTGCACATGTATGTAGCTAAACTATGTTAGGGCCTTGGACAGTATTTTATCCCATCTACGGGAGTGGAAGACATGGATAAGAAGTAATGGGAAAATAACCATGTTATCCTGCGAATAAGCATCAAGTTATATAAGGCTGGACTACTGATAGAGGTCACCATGTGACTTTTCGCTCTAGGTGTTCTCCTGGCCTAAAGCTCGCCTTCTAGTACTGCCAACCTGAAAGGCAGCAGGTGTTGTTGGGTTTCAAATGAGGGATCTGGAATAGAAACTCTATTAAGTGCACATGATAGACTGCTCTGTCTAAATGGTATACTAAGAATGATAGTTTCACATAGGTAAACCAAGTGACATAAATAGGGCCAGGTTAACGCCAGGATAAGCTATCCTTAAATACAACTCCCAGTATCTGTATAGTATCAAGCCTTACTAAAACTCGAAGCGATATGACATAATCTTATAAGAACTTTAATTCCGGTTAGTTAAACCATGCTAAATCTTCATCTCAAACGAGTATGGTGGCAGAAATAGATTAGGACTTCCATCATATATAAGTAACCAGTGGGTTTTATACTTCTCGTTTAATAAAGCTCTATTAAATGAAGAAGGATATTAACTACGTCTGGTAGGGAGTTTAGTGCCATTTAATAGTTAATTTGGAGGTTAGGTAAGTTTTACTTAGTTACTAAATATAGAGGTACGCGATATTCAACTTGATTTATAATACATAGATCCTAAATTAGCAAGTGACCAACCTCTTTTATACTCCTCACGTCAAGGTCTTCATGATGGCGTTTCTTTGTAATAGGCTTGACTTGTTGACAAGCCCCGTAAGCCCAACCTTTCCTAAAGAGGAAAATGGTCATGACGATTTAGTCAGCCTCCAAATGATAGAAGTAATAGTACAAAAAAGTATAAGTATACCAGAGAGTGCCAGAGTAATTTAATAGGGAATCAATGGTTTATTTCGATATCATTATATAGAATACAATTAGAAGCATTTGGAACTATGGCTTTTGTACCTACGACTCAATCTGAGATCCGAGAATGGCTTCTTAGGGTAGGTTGGACCCCATTGCGAAAGATGTATTAAAGCTAACGCTTCCCTAGTTCCATGAATCAAATGACTCCCTCGACGTGTCAAGACTATCGGATATATACACGGAAGATGCGAAAGTGCAGTTTGGCAACATGCCCCTGTTTAACGGGTTGGATGGGCTACGCAAATTCCTCAAGGGAACTTGGGCAGGATTAGAGATGATGCACCACGAAATTGACAGTTTTGGTAAGACAAAATTTGAAATACACCAATCTCAAAATTCATATAAGTAACTAACAGCTATACGCGGTAGATATGATAGACAATAAGATCTATCAGCCATGCCACATAACATGGAAAGTAAAGAATGATCCAGTAAGGGAGACAATTGTGGTTCCGGCTTTTGCTTTCATCTGCTTAGAGACATCTGGGGAAAATAGAGGCCGTGTCAAACAAGCTGCGTACTATATGGATAATGCTCCGTTAATGGCAGCACTTCAGAGGTCGTCTTAGGATTTGTCATATAAGAACTCACAGAGTCTAAAGTTGCAAGATGCGTTTTAGTGGTGTAATTTAGCTTTATCTTATCGGAATGTTACACAGAAAATGTAGCCTTGTGGAGTAACGAGTATTGATTGGATATGACTTCATTTGTCCCACTTCTTAAGCTAGGGCCCCGCAAGGCTGGGCTGGATCCATCTTAAATTTCAAACCTTCCAAACATTTGCACGGCATTGGTGAATTCCAAATCGCCAATTTTGGTCAATTACTCTAGAGTCCGAGTCTGGCTCTCTAGCACAAATTATGGCCGCATCTAATTCCCTAACCTTGTCGAGCGCGACCTTTGCAAAGCTCTCCCCGCATCCATTTCTCCTCGCGAACCTCCAGCCTTCAGACCCATCAACACCCTCTTCACGCACAAATGGACGACAACCGCGCCAAGCACGCCCCTACAGCGTCAATACTTCATCCCTATCACACGCGCATGGTAGTGCTGTAGTCCGCTCAGGCGACACAACAGTTATCTGTGGTGTGCGGGGCGAGACCCTTCTCACCTCTCAAATTCCCAATTACCGTGCACCACAAGCCGATGATACTACGATTGGTGACGAGCTACGAGACTACGATCTATTAGTACCAAATGTTGAGCTAGCGACTGGTTGCGCACCTAACTTCCTACCGGGTGTACCACCAACTACACTTGCGCAGACTTTGAGCACACGCCTTTTCTCTCTGCTACATAGCTCGAAGCTCCTGAATGCGGAGGATTTGCGAATATACCACGATGGTTCCGAGACACAAGGCGGAGGAGATACTGAGGAAGAAGAGATTGGTGTAATAGCAAAGGAAGTCAAGGCATATTGGGTGCTATACATTGACGTACTATTCATTTCCTTCGACGGTAACCCCTTCGACGTAGCTTGGGCAGCAATATTAGCTGCTCTACGAGATACAAAGCTCCCTTATGCATATTGGGATATCGATCGCGAGTTGGTGCTATGCACTCGGCCAACTGAAAAGGAGCCAACCCCGTTAAGCATACACGGGCTACCAGTAGCCTGCACGGCGGCCGTGTTTACAGCAAGGGAGAGACAGAAGAAAGGGAGCGGACAGTATTGGATCCTGGTAGACCCGGACAGGTTGGAGGAAAGTTTGTGCGATGAGACAGTGACGATGGTAGTTGATAATACTGAGGGAGAAGCCAAGGTCTTAATGATATCTAAGAGTGGTGGAACAGTTGTTGGACCTGCTCTCATGAGAGAGTTTGCTACTGTAGCCGCAACACGATGGAAAGAGTTCCGTGCTGTCTTACAATAGAAATCACTTAATACCCAAATATGGATACCCAAATATGGAATGAATACGAAACTGTTACGAGGAAGCTATAGACTGAGTGATAGAGACTACTATTGCATACTAGGGTTGCAATTTCTGTTGTAGAAACCAAATAATTATATTTCAAAGACAGCATTAAAATGAGATGTATCAACCCTTCGAACCATCCTATCAGGCGTTATTCCAGGACAGTAGATACGGGACGACTAATTGGTCTGCCCGCCCATTCAAGCGAGCAGCCTACTGAAAGGCTACTCTATTGCCAGCATCGTGGCGCTTCGGAGGAGCAGAACGCTGGATACTGGCGAGCGGTGGTTGTTGAAAAGAAGAAAAATGCCACAAGAAAAATCCAGGCCATTTTTAGTGAAGCTAGCGGGTGGGTCCACGCATCGGATCTTCGGTCTTAGTCATCTTCCGCGCATAGGCAATTAGTTCGACTCCACCTTCGAAGCTCCATTTCCCATCTTACAAATTTTCGAAAAGCAAACCCTGTATGACCCTTTTCTTCCTCCCTCCATCATGGAATCCTTGGGAGACGAGCCATGGGACGTGGTGATCTGCGGCACGGGACTGCAGCAGTCGCTACTGGCTCTGTAAGCAAAACCTCTCTGTTCTCGAGTAGCATACGTATTGTCGGGAGCTTCGTCTGACTGACCTAGTCTGCCTCCGCGATGAAGAGCTCTCTCGCGGTCGAACAAACGCATATTACACGTTGACCCGAATGATTATTACGGCGAGCATGAAGCTGCTTTTAGTCTGCAGGAGGCGGATGTTTGGGCTGCTACACACAGTGAAGAACATGCAACAGCAGGGAAGCAGCCTATCTTCAAGAATGCCAAAGCATGGAAACATGCAGATGCGACAGACCTAGGCCTATCCTTCCCTCGAGCATATTCGCTAGCCCTAGCACCCCAAATCATCCACACCCGCTCCAAGCTTCTAGAACAGCTCGTGTCGTCTCGGGCATATAGGCAAGTCGAGTTCCTCGCAGTCGGCTCGTTCTTCGTCTTCGACGCAGAAGCAAGCGAGTCCAGCTCGAAGCTAGCCCGAATTCCCAGTAGTCGAGAAGATGTGTTCGTCACGCAGGCTATACCGGTCAAGTCCAAACGGTCTTTGATGAAGTTCCTCAAATTTGTCATCGACTACGACTCTGAGGAGCAGAAGACCGTCTGGCAGGGTCAAGAGCGGAAGTTGCTGTCGGAATTCCTAGCTAGTGAATTCAAGCTAGGCGAGGACCTGCAGAAATATATCCTCGCTTTGACTCTGACGCTAGATGGCCGCATTACGGTGGCGGATGGCCTGGCTACAATTAATCGTCACCTTACCTCTATGGGCCTATTTGGCCCTGGCTTCTGCGCTGTATATCCTAAATGGGGTGGCTCTTCAGAAGTTGCACAAGTGGCGTGTCGTGCCGGAGCGGTAGGTGGCGGTATTTACATGCTCGATACCAAAGCAAAGGTCAGCGATAGCTCAGATGGCCATGAGATCTCGCTTGAGCTGTCAAATGGAATATCAGTCCGCACGACAAAGCTAGTCACGTCGCAACAAGACGCTCTTCCTGGGGCGCAAACTATCACGCGGCTCATTGCCGTAGTCAATTCGCCCCTCAAATCCTTGTTTGAGATCGTGGTAGAAGGCGCTCCGACCCCAGTTGTCGCTGTGGTAGCCTTCCCAGGCCCAACAAGGGAGGACGGCCCAATCTACGCATTTGTGCATTCCAATGAAACAGGCGAATGTCCCGCCGGTCAAAGTAAGTTTTCATTTTTTCCCATCATATTTTCTACCCTACTTCCCCCTGGTGTTATGATGATCCAACATAACGAATACTTATCTACATTGTCCGAGCTTCGCGCTGAGGAAAACAACCTCTGACAAACTGATTGCACCAATTTCTCTTTTTTACATGTTCATTACTGCATGAAAATCGAGAAAATATAGCTAACCATCGCTTCTATGGTATAGGCGTGATATACTTGACTACTCTAGCAAGTTCTCAATCTACACAGCGGCTCGAGTCAGCTCTAGGTGATCTTCTGGCTGCTGCTACTCCCGAGGGAAGTCCAACCCCCGTATGTCTGTACAAACTACAGTACGAGCAATCCCTCAGCGCGCGAGAGCCCTCGAGCACAACTCGTGAGGAAACTCGTACCTTTGCATTCCCATCACCATCTCTGAACCTCTCCTTTGACGAAAGTTGTCTGGGCCCGGTTAAAGATGCCTGGAAACTAGTCATGGGCGATACCGCCTCGGGAGACGAGTACATGGTGTTCGAAGATCGCGAGGGCGTGGGCGATGACGACGAGGTTTATGATTAGTCATTTAGTCCGCTTCGGTGTGAGTACATAGTCAATTGATCGCCATCTTAGATCAGCCACAAATGAACAATAGGACTGATTATTTTATGCCTTTATGCATTAAGTCAACGTATCGTATCTAAGTACCTATGCTAGGTCCCGTCCTTTGAGCCAGCGACAAAGCCAGCTTACCCTAGGCACCTAAAGTACTCCTTAAACGTGCATATACCGAAGAAGTGAATACGACGCAGATTATAGACTATGATCACTCTCATCTCGCCTCGCGATATTCCGGTCAAATGACCAGGGTAGCGTTTATCATCCATCGGATCTAGTATACCAGTTCGAAAGCCAACACATACTATACTCTCTTGGAGCAATATTAACAACGCAAATCATCCCCCTTTCCGAATCTTAGCAGCTTATATCCTCGGTTCCTAGCGTCGGTGTCAGTAGGGTTGTCTAGAAGCAGAAGGAATCACCGTAGTAGTATTAGTGCGCACTCACATATCCACTCACATGTCTAGCCTCAGCGGAGATCTCATCGTCGCAATAGTAGATACCTAAGTAAGTAGGTATGCTAGACATAATAAGGATACACGTCGGTGAAGAATGCCGAACCGAAGCAACGAGCCCGGATATTATATGCGTACGACTCTAGTCCTTCTCTAGTTACGCCTCAGCATCAGCTAGCTTGGCGCCCACCCAGATACTGCCGAAGGGTACGTTGGGTTCGCCGTCCTGCTGGACTTCTAATCTGCCCTTCGTAGCTAGGCAGAGTGTGTGATAGAAAGCCTGCGCGGCTGTCGCGCGCGGTGTCTCGCGGGGCACGAACACGTCGTCGAAGGCGACCCATCTGCGGTTTTCGTCGAAATCCTCGTCCTGGAGACGCTCGCCGTTCTCGCGGATCGCCGAGTCTATGAACGAAAGGAAATTCCCTCCTTCAATATCGATAGTCGGCCACTCGTCCTTCTTGTGCTCGTCTGCTTCTACTTCGTCCTCTACTAGTTGCAACTCGTCGAAGGAGTCGTCTTGCGAGTGGAGACCGCCTATATCGAAGCCGTCATCGCCGAATGCCGGACCGTCACTAAAGCGTATGATGTCCTGGATATTACCGCGATTTGCTAGGGGACTGGATGGGATTCGGCCCTTTTTCGCAGAGCCGCGAATAGATGAGCCCGGCACAGCAGAAGAGCCTCGGTTCCAGGGCAGACGCAAGGCGGAAGAAAGATGATCGGACATAGGCGCTTGGGCGTCTCGGCCAACTTCAGGGGGACTATGAACTATTTGTGCGTCTTGGTCGAAAACATAATCATCTTCTAGACCACGGCCCTGCTGGTCGGCTTCACTATCAAGTCGCGGCTTGACTCGGCGCTCGTCTTGCTCGTCATCCTTAATGAGTTCGGTTGCAGATCGGCGTCTACGTCTACCGCGGCGCTGCTCTGGTATCTCAAGTCCAGTAAGGGCAGTAAATAGGGAATCTCCCGAAAAGTCAAGGGCTAGCGGATGGACTATTCCAGGAACAGCCAAGTTCTGCCCGATATTTCCTAAACCAAGGCCGAATGTAAGTAGCATAGCATTCGCCTTTGCCTGCGCTGCTCCAGGTCGACCCTTCCTAGTGCCACAGTTATCCAAGTATTCTCTTTGCCACTCTCTTATGGTAGTTCTTGAGAGTTGCGTTTCTTCGTCGACAACCGGCATATGAGCTTTCTTCTTTCGTCGGGAAGGTGCTTGCTGGGGACCATCATCTAGGAAGGCATTATGTTCGTCTTGCGGTTGCTCCGTTAGGGGGTTTCCTACTTCTGGTTGCGCCGCTTTCATCATGACGATATCTCCTTCGCCATCAACATTTTGTTGATCCTGTTGCTCGCGATTCACATATTCCTGGCTCTCATCTTCCATTGGTGGGAGAGGGGGTAGCTCCATCTCGTCTTGGACTATGGCTGGTTCGTTCAGCTCAATGATGTTTCCGTCCTCGTCTATCTCCATTCCCCAGTCACCTGCTCCTGCGAATTCATCCTCTTGGTCGATAACGAATCGAGCTGCTTCGGGTTTCTGCGAAGATGAGAGCCCTTGAAGACCGAAAGGGGATCCTTGCGGATCGGGGGAATCTGAATGGCGTAGGTCAAAATGTATGTTGAAACCCGCACCCTGACTACCCGAGCCTGATAAAAGGGTATTGTCGAAGGGGGACATCTGAGATGATGTCTTATTGGTTGCTTGGCTATTTGCTACCAAAGCGTCGAGATCGAACTGCGGAAGACGCATATCTGGGACGAAATCGGGATCATTCATAATCAGGATATTTTCTGGTCTGGCGAATAACCAGTCAGTCACAACCGGTTTCTCGCGCGCACTATCTACTTCCCTGAGCGCTTAGGGCTCTTACCTTGTCTGTCCTGCCTCTGGGTCGAGTTGGTTCGAACCAAATTTTGTGAAGAAGATATGCATATGCGCCTGGATCTTCTGCAAGTCGGAAAGCATATAGGAGCATTGCTGGTTATAGACGCGCGATACTCCGTAGAGCAAATGACCCTGAAGGCGCAGGGCAACTGGCGCGCCTGGCTCGATGATCTTTCCACATGCCTTTTGCACGTCGACTTCTTGTATCGCTTTTCGGGTCACCTTCATAGTACTTGAACGATTTCCAACAGTCGCGACAAGCCTTTGACGCGTTAGCAGAGTCAATATATGGTTTCCCGATACAATAGACGAGAGGCTCTAAGGAAGAGTACCAGGAACAAGCCACTTACCATATAGTCGCAACGCCATATTGGCGGCTTGTGAGAACTATAACGCGGTGTAAGTGAAGATTACACGTTTTATAAGGAGTTGATAAGAGGAGTTAAGACTTACTTTCGTGGCTGTAGAACATCGTGAAGAGGGGTTAGGGAGGTTTAGGGGGTTGGCGCGTGACGCGTTTCGCGTCTAATCGAATCAAAGGGAAAGCTATGGCCTTGATATCAGTTATATTATAGGTCAGTAGGACCCAAAGGATGTTAACGTTCATTTATTCACGACGGATAAGTGTTTATGGGAATTGTAATGATGCTGAGGATGTTTGAGAAATAGGGGGGGAATATGAAGGCGGGGCTGCTGAGTTGTTTCTGATTTGTGACCTTGGAAGTTTTGTAAAGGTTTTTTATAAAAATATGAGGTGCACATGATGGCCACTTTCTAAATCTCGAAAGGTGCTGGTTGTTAAGGAAGTTGCGCTGGACTTGCATACCTAGGTTAGGTAGGTACGTCTGGCTGCTAGTTCAGTGGCGCCGATACCTTGCCAGGTGCGTTAGGTACCTACACCTTTACACGCTGCATATAATACGTGTATGTACCTGCATGTGCTCCTAAAGTCGTAGGGCTGTAGAAGAGGCTCGATGATGTTCTGTTGAATTATCATGTATCACACTTATACGTTGCCGTTTGCACACCTTCATTAATTGTTACGTCTTATTTTCCAGGCATTCATCATTACTTATCAGCCTAGTTTTATAAGGCAGTTAGAGGGACGCTCTGGTTGCAATTACAGTTACATTAGTCAAGTATTTTATTTATATTACTTGAATCAAGTAAGGAGAGGCTGTTGTGGTGTTTGAAGACATTGTTTGCTCTCGCTTATGTATATTGTTAACTCGGCCGCATTTTCGTAATGCACAATAGTAATTGTAAAAACTGCATATATCCTTGATTATGTGCCCATTTACGAATATAATACTCGAATATCAACTCTCGGTTGTTAAATAGGTGATGGTGCTTCTTTCATCTACGACTAGAAGTGATTATATAACATTGACTATGTTTTTTAATCATGAGAAATTATTGTGATACCTACAAAGTATTAACTTAGGTACAGCTAATTAATAGAACTAAACATAAGTTGGAAGTAATATATAATATAAAACTAACCTCCTACCGCTGCACATATCAGCATTAAGAAACGATTAGCATAGCAATGTAAAGAACCTATTGCGTGATATCCTTAAGTTAACATTTAAGTTAGGGCTATTTGGATCGGATATTCCCGAGATCTGACAAATAATTCTCGTACAATAAAAGACTTCATTTAAGGCATATCTTAGAAGATATATCTATCAATACATAGTACATTCCATTCTAATACCGTACATGCATGAGGTACATGCATGAGGTAATAGTCGAAACAATAGCATTATATAATTCAGATGAACCAATCACACATCTCAATGGTGACGAAGATCTACGACTGCATTGCCAAGACTCCACTAACATCTCGAGTTAAGAATTGTTCTAGAACATTATTAATCTATTAAGTGCCGCCCCTCATCCCTACCTAGCTAACTACCTATGTACACTATTCACCTCAATCGAACCATTGCTAACCTTTTATAATCTCTAATTTGGGGGAACGTAGAGATTATCCTCGTACCTGTTATGTTGATTCATCTTGACCATCCCCGTACCCGGTTACGGTAATTGAGGGATAAGTTGACGCACACGATATCTCACCCCTCACCCCTCCAGCTCCACAGGACCCTGAAAATCTTGAAGATCGATATTGGAGATCATATTAACCTAACCTAGTATTGTACTGTCAACGTAGGATCCTGTGTAATGGACCCTCTCATCGCCTCTGAGCTCGCTAAGAGCGCTGATGGCATTCCTTTCCGCGCCAAGGAAAATCACGTCCACAGCACTTGGGCGAAAACTTTCCTGTCGCGGCCAGAACTCTACTTCCAGCCGGAGACATTACCTGAGATTGAAAAGATAGTGAAACTTGCGCACAAATGTCGTCGCCGTCTCACTACTGCTGGTTGCGGCCATTCGCCCAGCTCGCTAACTTGCACCTCGTCCTGGCTAGTAAATCTCGACAAGTATAATCGCATACTGTCCGTAGATACGGATACCGGCGTCGTGGTCATGCAATCGGGAATAAGGCTGTATGCGCTTTGCGAGGAGCTTGAGAAGCACGGTCTTGCTATGCCAAACCTTGGTAGTATCAACCAGCAGTCCATCGCCGGCGCTATTTCCACAGGTACTCACGGGTCAAGCCTTAAGCATGGTCTGATGTCTGAGGACATCCTATCTTTGCGCGTAACCGTCGCAGATGGTACCACCAAATTCTGCTCCTCCGAGGACGACCCTGAGCTATTTCGGGCATCCCTCCTCTCTTTAGGTGCACTCGGCATCATAACTGAGGTTACTTTCCGAGCCGTACCCGAATTCACCCTACGGTGGAAACAGGTTATTGATGCTGACGTGAAGATGTTTGACGCGTGGGAAAGGGATCTTTGGACACAGACCGAGTTCGTCAGGGTTTGGTGGTACCCGTATACCCGGCGCGCAGTAGTGTGGACTGCGGAGAAGACGGATGAACCGCTGATAGATCCGAAAGTATCATACTATGACAACACCCTAGGCTACTACGTCTATCACAACTTGCTCTATGCCTCGCAGTTTTTTCCGCGAGTTCTCCCCTGGATCGAGTGGTTCGTTTTCGGCATGCAGTACGGGTTCCGGAACGGCACGACAAGCAGTGCCGTCCAACCCAGCCGCAAGGCACTGTTGATGAACTGCCTATATTCGCAGTTTGTGAATGAGTGGGCTATTCCTCTCCATAAAGGTCCCGAGGCTCTTCGACGATTGAGCAGCTGGCTCAATCAGCTTCCCCCCTCGGATCCGGACTACGTACCCCATAACATACCCTTCTCAGCTGAGGGACTCTACGTCCATGCGCCTGTCGAAGTGCGAGTCTCCAACACGTCGCCTTCTAACCCGAAGTCTTTAATGCCGAACAGCAGGCCATATCTCGACCCGACAGTCGAGGACAGCCCAACGCTATATCTCAACGCCACCCTCTACAGGCCTTATCATAGCGACCCGCCGTGTCGGGCTCGGTACTACGAGGCTTTCGAGTGGCTAATGCGGGATCTAGGCGGGCGACCGCACTGGGCGAAGAACTTCGAGACAGAAGGTGCAGAGATCGAAAGTATGTATGGCAGCAGTTTGCGTCAGTGGCGAAAGGTTCGGGAAAGCGTAGATCCCGATGGCCTGTTTGTCGGCGCATGGCATCGACGATTCGTACTCGAGAGTGGACCCCTTCTCCCGCTTGAGGAGGTAGAAATTAAACGAGAGAGAAGGAGTCGTGCGGGCGGTGTGATATTCGAAGGTGTAGTTGGGAGCGCCCGGTAGCCATTGATTTCCGGTTGGTTTGGGTTTCTATTCATGTTCTTGGTCGTCTGGGGATGTAGATTTGATGACCAATATCGATGCAAATTCCCAGTTTATTTATACAACCCACAATGACCTTTTTGAGCCTACATATGACACAGGCTTGAGATTAGGCTCTGCATAAAACCACGGAGTAGTAAAACTATATAGACTCTCTTTATATCTCTTATAGAAGGTTATCACCTTAGGCTGTGAGCTCCTGTCACGTACCTACCTGTAATTATAAGGAGGAGCGATACCCATCCGTTGCAGGAGCCAAGTTGAATGTAAAGAAGCCGCGAATGCTTCCATGTATTCAAGTAGCTTCAAACGTAAAGCTTATATCATACGTCTATATGATTTAATAATGTATGAGTAGGTAGACTTTTACTATCATCCGTTCACCAACACTGATAGATCAAGTATCAAAACGTTTATCAAGACATCCGAATCATATTCAAATTAACCATCATTGGCCCCCCCTGGAGACTTCTAGGCCGCTTACACTGCTGAACAGTTTAGACAGCATGGACATCTTATACGTCCCGGGCTTCCCAGGCGTCCCGGAGTCATTTTTTGAACAAATGCTTAATGTCCCTTACGATGAGAAGCTAAGGGAAGCTGACCCGGCACTGGAGAAATCAGCACGAAAAATGGAGCTCAAAGTCGTTCGTAAACTATGGGAGGTAGTGGCGAGTAGTAAGGCGGATATCAACGTAAAAAAGGAGGCTATCGCACAGTTCTTCTCAAATAAAGTCGACTATTTGCTACCTCCTAAATACCCAGGTCCAGCGGGTTTTGAATACACACGACATAGAATTGGGTCCTGGAAGGAATTATTGACCTGCCCGCTGAGTATTCCGGACGACGATTTATCTAAGCTGATCCGAATGACGCCAAAGATACCTAACCAGAATCATTTTGCGGAAACGGGAGCTGGACGTTTAATTTTCATGGTGTCATGGTCGTTTTCGTTAGCCCAACTCCACCGTCTGATAGAACATCTAAAACAGGAGGAGACTATATTCGAAGAGTCGCAGACATGGTTGAATTTTCTCATTTCGCGGAAGGGTGGTAACCGTGCTAATGATACACCCAACGCTCACATAACTGTCCGGTATATTGGTTCCCGCGCAGTATCATCAGACGATCCGCTACCACTCACGAACACTCAACTGTTGCATGAGGAGTTTGGCCGTAATCCTTTCTCTGGAGTTCTCCCAGAGTTTTTAGAGGCAGTAAATGTGGCCTTGCCGAGTGTGGCAAACGGTGTCCGAGTTTACATCCTCCCCGACCTCTTCGATTCGGAACGTAACAGCGAGGTAGTATTTTGGGATAATCTCACATATCAAGCATCACTCGCGGTATTCGACCTCAAGTCTCTTATCAACCGCGACGTGGAGCCGCCCTTACTACCTGATGACTTGCCGAAGGATGAATTTAGCTTGCTGGAAACTGTATATTGCGGAAGCAAACCCCCGGCTTCAGTATCTGGCCCCTCGGTTCATCTACAACCCGAGTTCAAACGGTTGTCACAACAAATGTACAAATCTTCTCGGCCTGGAAACAACCAGAACACCTTCCCGAAAGCCATGAGCTTGGAGGCGCGCCGGAGTCTCATACAACAGGCGATCCCTTTCCCTTTCGAACCCGAAGGGGAGCGGCCCCTACTAACGTTTGCTGTAAAAGGCATCCCTCCTGGTGACATCTACAACGACAAACAGTACCTCGAGGGGGAAACTGTCGATGCGTTAATTATGAAGATTCTGATCGGGGAGGCAATGTTGCACGGGAAGAAGACTGGTTCATATGCCAATGTTGTCCCCTTTTATTCCTTTGCGCCTTTTTTTAGACGGTTCGGTCCAGGATATGTCAATGAGTTTACTGTAAGCTTCTCTGTCTATTCGATAACGTCTCCTATTTATAATTAACATGAACGCAGTCGTATATGTGGGATTACGTCAGGGCCACTCGTCCTGTGATTTTTGTCACTCTGGGGAAGCGAATAGCCGAAGTCATCTGTAAAGCTTCTCGCACAGATACAGCCGAGGGCACAGAATCAACCCCAAAACAGGAATTAAAACTGGGATCGCCTAGAATAATAACCTCATCAGGATCAGCTAAATCAGGAAAAGGCCCCTTCAGCTTCATATACATTCCTCTCCTCGACCCTGGGCGGTACAAGTATACGACGGCGACGGAGACCCGGAAAGTATTCCTGTCCTACATGGCATATTCTTTTCAGTACGTAGTCCTAGTAGCGGATACAGCAAAGATATTCAGGGACGAAATGCGGTCGTCCGGAAACAAGATAGATGAGAACAGCGAGGAATTTTGCGAAGAAATCATATTGCGGGTACGACGTAGACTACAAAGTACACCGGGACGTCCCTTTGTGGAGGGCATAAGAAAGGCGAAAGCCCTCATCGCAGAGCTGATTACCCAGCAGCCGATTATGTTTTCCTGAGGAACTTGGACGAGGGACGTTTTGTTCGTAGAGGTGAATAGGGGAAGGGAAAGGAAATGTTGCTCCTAAGGAGAGTCGTTATTATGGGGTTCCATGTTACCCTTTCAGGCGGTTTCAGGGGCTGGATTATATGGGGATTGTATTATTGAGCAGTGAGTGAACACACGATAGCACGGAGTTGGCACTGTTGTTTATTTTCTATGGGTTGTCGCTCGTTAGGTTATAGAGGTATTGGCCAATATCTCGAGTACGCCTGGTATAATTGTTTATAGAATCAATACCTACGTACGTAGATGTACGCGTGAACACTACTTACTACGTGATGTGTTAACTATGCCTATTTACCGCTGGAAGACTGGGTATCTAGCTAAGTACCTACCTAAGGTGACGACACCAATGTATCACATCGAAGATGGAGAGTCGATACCCCTATGTAGGGCTTCACCCGTGCGTAGGTAAGTAAGCATCTACCCGAGTGTCAAGGAACACAGATGGGTCCTTGCCGTAGGGGGCGGATTGGTGGCTTAAATGAAGATACTTGGTTATGTGAGTTGATCGAGCACTATGCCAATCACACAACTGCTGTTGATGTTGCTAGTTGTTCGCTGTGGCATAGTATAATAGACTGGGGGCGAGACTACTTGATGTTGATGAACCACCTACACTGGGAGCCGGCTTATGCATACATAACATATCCAGACCTACCATTATTATCTACCATTTACTACAAGAATTATTTCTAACGATATCTGACGCGTGTCACGCGTTCTACGTTTTACCTTGGTACATATCTGCAAGTATCCATCCGCGCATCCTACCTACACCGCTAAACCGGTAGAAAGCCAGATAGGTAACGATACGATCTGCTCCCGAAGTAGCGGACTAGATTAGGTTTGTAGCAGACGCAGGAACAGACGGGCGGATCTGGAACCCACGTGAAAACCCAGAAGTGAGGCTGATCAGGTGCAGATAGCCGGATGACGTTGTTCCTGGTGGGACGTGGACTGATGGGTTTGCACAAATGGGCTGGGTTTGGTTGGCTGGTTGGTTGGTTGATAGTGGGTTGGTGATGGATGGACAAGGCGGCGCGGGACGGGAGGCAGCATATATGGAGGTGATGCCGGTGGCTGTGAGAGTTCGAGTGTTAGAAAACGGAATGGTGCTTGTTGGTTCGCTACGTTTGAACTTGAAGAATACGGAGGATAATATGGGGAAAATAGTGCCAATAGGTCTCAGATGTCAAGCTGACGTCCGGAAATAGATACAGACAGATTTGGTCTTGAAACGTCTTGCACATGGGCGCGCGGGATGCTACCCACTCGATTCCCGCACGGTCCTCTTGCAGGCGGGATGGAGAATGCGACTTGCCATTTACATAGTGTACACTTACATATGTATATGGAAGAGGGTGGAGGACAGAGTTGTCTTGATGGCATAGGTTCTAGGCTCTAGACATGTATGGGTCTAATATGTATTGGTCATTTGCATGGTGAGATAGCGATGCTGGAGGATTTCCACTCCCGTCGTGGTGCCTGAATGATAGAATTGATTGCGTGCAGCGGGCTACTACCCAACATCCCGTCTGACTGCACGGGTGATTGGGCGGGAGAGGGATTGGAGAGACCATGGGGGCCATCACGGTAACTTGGCTGCTTGAGGGATGAAGATATCCGTGTCTTGTCCCTGTCAAATATTAGGTACAATACCTATATTCATAGATATTCATAGGAGCTATATTCATTCATATGTAGGGGCGCGATAATGAAAGTAAGTTAGGTATTCAATGTTTCTATTATAGACGAGGGAGAGTGACGAAACTCCCTGTAGAAACACAAAAAAAGACGCTCTTGAGGCGAACGCACAGACGGACCCGGAGGTCATGCGGATAAAGACGCTTCATGACCGGGCTGGGCTAGAATCATGCGGTTTCTGGCCGGATCTCTTAGTTCGAAGTTCGAGGCTCGGCTGCTGTCAGGTTTGTAGGTACCTAAGGTACCGCAAACTTTTGCAAAGCACCTCTACTTTGATGTTTATCTCCTGAAGATGGCTTACAGTAAGTGCTAGGTATCTGTAAGAGGAGACAGAATCGATAAAGCGTGCTGTCTTGCTATGTTGTCGTATCGAATGCAGATGGAATCCATCTGATGGGACTGATGGACTCGTTCTGCCCCTCATCTGCAGCCACTGCAGCCACTGCAGCCAAACCCAGTCGTATTTGTCATTCTTACACGAAGTGCGAAGTGAGGAACATCGGACGAGAGCCGAGCCTGTAGTGTGAAAGTGTAAGCGCTGAAGAAACGCGACAGGGGTCGATACGATAACAGGTACCTAACCAGCTAACCTAGGCAATCCCAAAAATCTGCCTTCATTCCGAGAGCCAACTGCATTCGTCGAAGAGGGCTCTACATAAGCTCTAAGCCTACCGTGGCTGCGTGGGTGAGGGGGCCGATTAGCTTCTGAACGGTCCTGGAACAGCTGGTCCAGGAAGGGATCCGCCCAGGCGGGAAAATACAGAAGCAGCAAGGCTTTCAGGCTTTCTGCTTGGCTAAAGGGTCTTTGTTCTTTTTAGTACGGAGCCTACCGAGTCAGTGAAACGCCGTGTGCCTTCAAGTTAGATCGGCCGCGCCACGGTGGAATTTACATGCACTGTGTAAATGCTGATTATCGGTAGCTATTTCTTTAGCAAAGATATCTGCGGCAACGTGTGACAGCGGGGTTAAAACTGTACTACGATCCAAAACGAAACCTTGGAAATAAACGAAACCCAAGACGCTTTGGGACGACAATGACGACCATGGGGAAAAAGCAAGGTTCCGTCATAGACTCGATTCGAACGAAGCTATGCATTTTCGATAAGAAAATGAAGCTAGTAGTAGTCTAATCCACATAGGCATCAATTATCAATTATTATCAATTATCAATATAACCATTTGTAGATGCTTATGCAGCTTCATGTAGGTAATTGTTGTAGGTAGGTAGGTATTGAACCTAGGCAATTGTTTGCGGGAAGACAATGACGACATATACATATTGCATTACATAGTTATATTTCTTTACTCTTATGATAGCGTGCATAACGAAAATAGCTACATTTGATAAAACATCTCCACCATAAGGTAAGCCAGCACGCGCAATGCCCACGAGCGCACATGCCCCATCTGCTCCGATAGGTTGTTCCGTTTGTTGAATGCGCGCGCACCTACCTAACTCAACAACGATCTCCAGGAGTTCAATTGCAACTTCCTAATGTTCGTTCGTTCGTTCGATCTTTTCCAAGGTCTTACTAAGGGTCGACCTAATAAAGGTGGTGGCGGCCGCAGCAGTAGCCTACCATTTATACTACCATTTGTACAATCTAACTTATCATCTGTACCACCTGTACCTATCCTAATACTTCCTAATTCAATCTGCACTCGTTAATTAATCATTCCACTACTACCACCACCAACACCACCACCACTCCTCGTGTCCCATAACCTGTACTATCAACACCAAACAATCCCTCGCAGTTCGCGTCTAGCGCTGGTCCTAGACTGCTTGCTTAGCTGTTTCTTCCTCGACTTATTCAATCGACGCTTTTGCTCTTTCTATTGCTAGAATTTTAATCGGAAATCCTCTTACTTCATTCCATAGAGGGGAGTTTTATTGTATTGTACTATCTCGCGAACAAAGAAAAAAAAAGAAAAAAGAAAAAAGGGACGAACACTTCACATACACTAGCGCCTACGACCACGGCGACAACCCCCAAAGGTACAGTTTACTTCATATTTGTACAACTACTTGGATACCCCCCTGGACAATCCGGCCGCCACCTTGGTTCTGCTTTAGGCTGGTGATCCCCCCTGTCCACTTACATGGATAGGTCGGTTGGGTGCTTTTCGCAAGCGCCTAGGCCTGTCATTGATTCCTACCAACTCCGCAGCTGCCCACTAGCACATGGGAAGACTGCATTCTCCTCAATCGCTCAATCGCTATTCATTCATTGCCTTGCCGAGTTCACCGAGCGACTTTATCTTCTTTTCTATACCACCAGCTCGCGGAACCACCCAGTGTCGAGTGCCTGGCTGGCTATTAGCTTTTCGCTCTTGCGGCTTTTGAGACACCGTGCTGATTGAAGAAACTACAGTTTGAACTACGTATTTACGCATATACCCGTACATCTTACTCTTTGCCGATAGTCAGCTGGTCTTAGGTTCTACGACATAGGTCTCACCATAACCTCATTAATAGCACGATATCGACTCCATGAACTTTTTCTTTACCTTCGGAATCCCATTTTAATCCTCGAAATCAATCTTATCGTTTCGCCATTATCGCTGTAATATTTATTCATTCCACGAATCACATTAGAGGCCTGCCGTGTTTTCTGGACCTCGTGGTCCGCCAATCGTCAAGCTGGAGTCGTAAGTTCCCTCCACCTTTCAGCGCGGGTCGCATAGCTTCGGATCGCTATAATTTCTCCAGAGCTATTCTATCATGGCCCCTCCAAATCATCAATACCATATATATACAAGCCTCTCCTCTTGTGCGCAATGCTAACTTGGTTTGGCTCAGCTTCATCCACGTCGCCGCCTGGTCGCAGCACCGGAGCTCAAGCCCCGGCCCGCAGCGTACCTTTGGCCATCTTAGATCGCTCTCGAGCATGTCTCCGTCTGCTATTTCCCGGTCGAGATCCCCGGCTAAATCCCACTCTTCGTCAAACATAGCTGCCGAGATGATGGTGCCGCCAACCAACGTCAATTCTCTTAGTGTGCCCGAACCTAGGAGGATGGCATCGCAAAGCTCTCTCATGGAGGATCAAGATCACAGCACTATCCCCGACCCTAGAACGCGCGCCGCGTCTATTGCGAGTAGCAATCTTCACCCCGATTTAGATCAAGAAGTTGCTGCTTTAAGCACGAAGCTCATCAACGCAATTAATCATCAAACTAGTCTCGACGATACGCTTTCGGCGACAAGACAAGATTTAGAGGCTTCCCGAGAACGAATTAAAGAACTAGAGGCGACAGTAGCACGGCAACAGGAAACGCTGTCCGGCGATGTCTGGGTTAAACGCAAAAATGTTGAAATCGAAAAGAGCAAACTACTCGCGCGCATTGTCGAAGAGAAGAGATTACGAGCCGAAGTTGAGAAGGAGAAAAAGAAGATCGAACAGGAGCTCGAGACATTAACAGTTTCCTTATTCGAGGAAGCGAACAGGATGGTTATTACAGCCAAAGAGGATGCTAAGAAAGAACAGGATGCCCTTCACCGGAAGAATGAACAATTAAGGGCGCAGCTAGCTGATACTGAAAGCATTTTAAGATCGCAGCAAGAACAGTTAGCGGAGCTCAAACTTGTCATGGGGCAGATGACGATCGAGCACGAGGATCATTGTGGCACTGCGCCTTCATCTCCTGGATTTAGCAAGTTCGAATCGGGAGACGACGATACTCAAATATCCGAAGGTGGCCCGCACTCTGTTACAGAGCAGCTTGTTCCTACATACCCGACAAATCTCTCACACCTTATACACCCAGTGTTGAGGACCGATCTGCATGCCTATGATGATTTCATGTCACTGGTACAGACGTCGAAGAGAGCACCTGATAGTCGCGCCTCGTCTGGATCTTATGGACTTAACCCTCTTCTCGGCCTTACTTCTAGGCACGCCTCGGCTCCATCAAATTCGTCAACGGCCTCCTTATCTACCTTCGAAGCATCAAGCTCTAACACTTCTCCGCAAACACCGAACACACCTGCTTCAATCCTTAGTGCAGGATCTACAGCCTCCTCTGCCCCATTACCACCACTAAAAGACACAAAATTTTATAAAAGAGTTCTGGCTGAAGATATTGAGCCGACTTTGCGCCTCGACACGGCACCCGGCCTTTCCTGGCTTGCTCGTCGGTCTGTTCTTAACGCCATGACTGAGGGGTCTCTTGTTGTAGAACCAGTTCCTACAACTTCCCCATTCCAATCTATCAGCAAACCCCAATTTTATCCTTGCGCGCTTTGCGGCGAGGCCCGTAAGGACGAGCCACACCTGCGAAACCATCGTTTCCGGACGAGCGAGTCGGATTCTGCCCAGCGGTATCCTCTTTGCAAATACTGCCTTGATCGTGTGAGGTCAACTTGTGACTTCCTCGGCTTCTTGCGTATGGTGAAAGACGGACACTGGCGTACAGAGGATGCAGAGTCTGAACGGGCTGCTTGGGAAGAGAGTGTCCGATTGCGGGACCAAATGTTCTGGAGCCGCATAGGAGGCGGTGTCGTCCCAGTTATCAGTCATATACATTCTAGTAGCGTCGAAGATACGTCTACTCGAAATAGCCAGGACGTGAACGGGACTTCAACCGACGAAAACAAGGCAGAGGCCGTACAACAGCCTATCACACCCAGCGAATCCGAATCGACTCCGAAGCTAGCCGAGCTTAATCAAGATGATAAGTCGGAACATGTCATTGTCATTTCCGAAGACCAGGGTTCTGGTAGTGCTGGAGACTTGATTGAACACCTAGAACATCTAGAACTCACGGACCTAGACGCGGGGAAAAGCCAACGACTTTCTCTTACAATACCTGACGCTTCTAGCAAAGAGACGTCGGCATGATCCTTGACGCGACAGTTATATTAACTTAATACCCCATTTCCTTTTGTTACGCTCAAAAGTTCATTCATCAGCCATGGCATCATTTTCGCGCGTACATATTTTTCTCAGCGCTGGCCCTTGGACCCTTGTGTATAATACTTACCTTAGTCATTAGAGTCAGCTGAGGGTGGCGGCCCACGGCGAATGGGTCGCGGTACTGGCTAGCATTGGTGCATTTAGCGGGCTGGTGTTTCCTGGAGTTTTGCTATTTTTGTCTGCATTGGGCGAGTGCGAGTAGATTAGAGTTGCCAGGCTCGGGTGAGATCGCCTCAAGGGACCTTGGATAAGGATTGGAACCGGAGCTTCAAGGTTATCATATGGATGTGCTGCCGCTGGCTCAAAAGGGGGGGCTCGCGGCGCTTCGGGCCGAGCATAGTCTACGGAGACGAGGCTACGGAGGACCTGAAATTCGAGTTATATAATATGATGGTTAGCAATATATATTGCGCTGAAATGCTATTGCATGATAAGTCCTAATGTCTGATATCTAATGAATATTTAAAACAAAGTTTAAGTAAATGTTTAAACTGTTACATTCCGATACTGACATTTCTAACTAGGAACAAGTACCTAATATACCATAGACGGGGTTCTACGTTGCTTAGATACTTAAGCTACCTGTTGACTTTGTCCCAAGACACTATGTAATTTGTTAGGATTAACAGAGATATGGTAGAGAAATAGCCTGTTCAACCCATATGCTGGGTGGCCGTAACCGCTTTGGGGCCCGGAAAATTAAGCTTAAAGGCAAATCATCGTGGAGTAGATCCGACATACATATATACCAGTACCGAGCAACAGACCCTGAATAGATATGCGGTGTGGCAGGCATCAAAATATAGGACAAGGGGTCCGGTCTCGGGAGCGTAGCATCGATCAGCCTGGGGCCCCAGAATATCTTGATATAGTTAGGGTCAACCACGGACAGTATTACTATCATACATAGGTACGTAAGCAGATTAAGTTGTTGTAAGCGCGGTAGATTTATATGTAACTAACCTAGGTATGTACTTGCAGCTTTCTGCATTTCTTCCCCCAGAATTAATCGGAAAGGACCTCAATCGATAACATTGCGGTCCGAATGCTTAGTCCCGGCTGTCCCCGGTTTATATGCCGAATTGTACCTTATCTGTGTAATGTAGTACAATATTTATAGGCAATTACACTACCTGGGTAGGTACCTAGGTATGTAGGTATGTATGTATGTCCAACGGATGTACTTGCCTTGCATGCAACATACATACCTAGTGTACATACTTACAAGGTAGGCAACCGCAATCTGAGTTTGTCGGATCTAAAGTCAAAGCGTCTATATTTGCAATTCATCTATTTTCAGCTTCTTTCTCCTTTTTTTCTTCTTCTTCCCTACCACACGGGATTGAACCACCGCGTTGCAACGTTGGCCTTACCCGGCCTCGCTTACGTATCTCCAAAGAGCTGGGGCTAGGCTGAGCTAGGCTAGGGCAGTTCTATGGGGTATGTAGTATCAGAGATGCCTGCGAATGCCTCTCCCTCCTCTCCCTCTCCTTATGAGATCGACCGGGTTGATAATCCCCGTAAGGCTCCGCGGTCCAGCCATTTTCTATCATTATTTTACCGCACAAATCAATTCTTTCTTACCTTTTTATATCATTTCTGGGTTTTCCAATGCATACGACGTGATATGAGAGTAGCCTTAACATAACTACTACTATACGAAATATATACGAAATATATACCACCAACGATCTGCGGCTTTATCATATTGAGTGATATATAACCCACTACGACCAAATACCAAAGCATCGGGTCTGGCACAAGGACTAGTTATAAGACTAGAGCTGGGCTAGCTGCTGATGCCGCGGCCGCTTTCCTTGGGATGGATAAAGCTAGTTATTAGTTACATCGCGGGTCCGATTCCTACCAAATTTGGGACCGCCGTGTGACTGTGACTTTAGATCCGACCTACCCAAGACGCTAAACGGCCCCCGTCCAGCCCGTCTTACCAAGCTCCGTAATGGTAATGACCATGGTACCGGATCCCGAGATTGAACTTGCCTCTTCGTCTCCGCAGCCGACGACACCTGCTAGCACCGTCAATTCCGACCCTAAAAATGCAGCGCCCATCAAGCGGCGCGCCCCCATTGCATGCCGAAGGTATCGTGTATCACCCTTATAGGTAGTAAAGCCGTCGCTAAACCTCGGGCTCTTCTTAGATGTCGCCGGATGCGCAGCAAGTGTATTCATGACAAAGCACCTCCGTGCAAGTCGTGTATAGAGGCGAATGTGCCTGAGGAATGGTACTAATTACTCTAACTTCTAAGATTTCTTTCGTTCCCTTCCAAGCTGACGCACAAGCTGACACGCAATGCCAGCGTCTTTCCTACTCGTGGAGACTCGGACCAAGATCGGCAGTTTCGACATCCGCGTCAGAGAGCCGATAGGAAAGCTAGAAGTGATTCCAAAGTCAAGAATGAGTTACCTGTTTCCCCCGGCCTCCCACGCAATGCTCTTGCAGACTATAAGCCCCCCAAGCCTGACAATGAGTGGGAATTCCTCCCAGGAGTCGATACCGTCGTGGACGGCATCAATACCTTTACTAGGAATTACTTCCAACTAGGTTTCATTCCAAAGAAGATGTTTCCTAAACTTGTCAAGGAAAACCCTTCATCTATCAGCGTATTTCTACTACTAAGCATTCTCGCCATTTCAGCTAGGTTTAATAAGACCATAATAGAAACCTACGGCGACGGACTCACAGCGGTAACCGAATTTATGCACAAAGCACAGTGCTTGGCTATCCACGAGCTCTACAAGCAGCCCACCCTCGAAAGATGCCAGGCTTTCTATGTGCTAAGCATCGCCGAGCAAGGAAGCGGGAAATCAAATACAAGCTATGTAAGACGACTTTAGGAGAATAGCTAAACGACTCAATAATACTGACCTTCAAAAGATCAGTGCAGGCATCGCCTTCAGGATGGCTGCCCTGATGCGACTCCACCGAGAGGAGGCATATAGTCCCATCACAGAACAATCGCCTCTAGCGCACCGGGTTCGGGCAGAGTCCGCCAGACGCACGTTCGTGAGTCAATGGTCCTGAACTATCCCAATTCGATGTGACAGCCTTTTATCCTCAATATATTCTCGATTAATTGGAGGCTAATCTAACGGATATTTTTGAGCCCGCAGTGGATGTTACATAGTATGTTAAACCTACAAACTTACACTTTTATTTCCCCTAACGGGATAGCCAGGCCAAGACAACCTTCATTCCGGCCCATACAAGCCGTTATCCCTCGCACCCGGCGACATTACGGCTCTTCTGCCCGGCGACGAAGTAGAATTCGACACCGGTAAGATCCCCGAGCGGCGCGCAGCTCTTGACGGCACGCCACCCGCCCTCCAAGACCCGAGCCTTACCACACTTCAGCCAAGGTCCCTATTTGCATCCTTGATGCAGGTCCATAACTTATGGGGAATTATCGCCCGACGACTTCTTTTTAACAGAAAATGTGGGCGTCCCAACGATTCCTCCAGCGAATACTCCATGTTGAATCGAAAACTTCTGGATTTTGAACAGAATCTTCCGAATGAACACACCTTTAACAAAGTTACATTGAGCGGCTACAGGAACTACGCAGAAGATCTGGTATGAGCATACTACTCTTCCTTATTCTGAGTATATTAATAACACTAGCATCAGGCGTATCTTGGCATGACTGGCTGTCTCCGACTTTGCCATATTGTTCTCCGTAAAGAATACATGGAAGAGTACGTAACTGTCACCGAGCTTCGGATTCTGCTAACATATCAATCAGCATGATTCGGCATGCTCAAGGAAACCCTTCTCATTCCGATGTTAAGTTCTACAAGAGCATGGCGCAAGAACTATTCTTCAATGTCAGAAAACTGTACTCGCAGATCGAGGCTCATTACGAATCGGGAGTTGAAGTAGGGAGAGTTGGTTCCCAAATGGCTGTGAGCAGAGTTAACGAACATCTCACGGTTAGATTGTTGCTGAATCTTCATAGGGCTTTATTATCTACGGTTGTGGATTGTTGGCATCTTATCTGTGCAAATTCCCCCAATGTAAAGTCCCATCCCTCCCGGACAGGGTGTCGATCAAGGATGCCGTTTACTAAGTCTGATTAGTGGATGTCCATCACGCAGGGCAAAGTATTAATACTATACAAACGGAAGGCCGAAATATGTATACTCATATCGTGGCTATCCTAAGGGAGTGCCAAAAAGCATGGCCTCTTGCCGAGACTTGGTGTAACGGCTTGGAGAAATGGTACCAGGATCCAAATCCCAAGAAGATATCGTTCCAGGCTGGCACCATGACCGATGGGGTAAGCTGTCTTATAAGAAAATTATAGCTAAGGTTCGGTTCAATTAATTTTACCTACAGAAAGAGCCTCAGCCTTATGCCCTTACTATTATGCACCCCCGAACAACCACGAGCTATGTTCAGTCTGAAGCCGTCCAGCTTGGCCGGATACGCTCTACACCACCAACACCATATGCGGACGAACGAGAGCAGCTTGCAGTAAGGGAAGATCCAGAGCCCCAGCGACTCGCACCGTTACAGCAGACACAGCCTGGCTTCGCTCAGACTGTTTATCTCCCGCCTTTATCACAGACGCCATATCACCAACAATCATCGTCGCCGCAACCGCCTCACCCGCCTCAGCAGCAGAACTATCCACAGCAGGTCTATTCAAGTTCGGGACTCGACATGCTAGCCGAAGCATCCCATCATATGCCTATGCCAACGCCTACGACAATGGATCCGTATCAACACCAACCCGCTGAATATTATGCCGAATATCCACCCGCCACAGTGCTTAATGATGGTTTCGACAGTAACTTACAGATGCTTGTCGATGGTGCTGGTGGACAGTGGCCTCCAGTGGATCCCGCCGGCCTGGTGTATACTGCGTACGATATTCCTAGTTATCTTCCCCAGCCTTGAGATAAGGCGGTATAAGTAGCACCTAATGTACTACGGAATGGTAATACCGCGTCTATTCGGCCGAGGCAAGCATTCGGCCAAGTTGCCGGAGACTCGCTGCTTGCCATGGTCCCGTAGTAGCGGTTAATACATATGCTGAAATAGTATTACGACATGATATGACGAATTTGTTTCTAGAGCGTTCATTATACTTTAGGTACATATATGCCTCTATACACATTTATACCCAGGCTGTATCTAATTATCTATGGGGGTTAATTACGTATCTATGGGGGTTTGCTTTAAAATCGGATTTGTATTGGATTTGGATTTGGGGGGGAAAATGGAATAGGAATAAGATTAACATGGGTGTCTTCTGATGCTGTATGTATGTAGGGATATTAGGACGGAGCGTGGGGAACGGCTGGGTTACTTGGCTATGCCGTATATACGCACCGCTTTCTGAGATACATATGGTACGGTACCAATCATCGTCTATTTATTTATTCATTTATTCATCTATTTATTTATAGCATCTATGTCTCGGTGCAAATCTATGACTTGGTCTGAATTTGAGCAGCTTAATTTAGTGGTTAGTGATGGTGTTATGCTAATGATGTTGAGTGTCTTATACAATAAGACTATGCGAATTACTCAACTCCTATTTCAATGCATGGGTACCAACTACAATCCACAGTAAAATATCGATTCATAATAATTGCCAGCCAGCTTAGCACAACATTACCACACGCTCGAGGACTACTAGAGCGCAACAATACAATCGTCTATAAAGACTAACCTAGCGAAGTCTACAGGAATGATATCAATATTTTACAAGCTAGCCACCATAATACAACTCATCACCTCCTTATTACATGGATTTACACATCTCAAGCCCAACTAATCACGCATACATTCACTCACTCAGTCAATTAAAAGTCAACCGCATGGGTAGAAACAGCCTCTATTGGTTGGATATCAGCACTGAACTACCGCTACTGAGCAAAGCTATGCCATGCAGTGCTCATCGCAAACTCTTTCGCGCAGGGGGGATAGATATAAAGCGAGCGAGTCTCGAAGCCGGACCCAAGTCCAGTTCGGTCCGGTTGTACCATCACAAAACCGACCTTAACCTAAACCCTGCTACGACGCTCACTCGCCCGGACCGGCGTGACCAAAAGTTCCAACCCCTCGTAAATCTTGTGCGGGCGCCCGGGTGGTTCATGGGACCGAGTGAAAATAGCTCGTCCTAGTAAAACAGACCCCGAATCCCTTGACGCCGCTGGTTGAACTTCCAATTGGGCTTTTTCGTAACATGTCTATTCACTTGAATTAGACTAGAAAAAAACCTCGGCGGAGTTGTGCTAGGCCTGAATGCCCTTCTCATGACATAACAACGTCCTCTCTATCTTTTGCTTTCGTACCTCCGCCTTTCCTTACATGAATTCGTGGCCCCAAACCCGGAGTAAAGGGGCGTACATGACGTGATCTTCTCTCTAAAAGGGACTAGACATATCTCCGTTATGGCTTTGCAGTCCAAACCGAAGGAAAACTCAGCAAAATGTGTTGGTGTATGGGGTAGGTGTGTGTTGTGACGGGGGAATTTCCATAGGTGAATTTGGTGGCAGGGGTATTGGATTAATAGGGGTAAGGGGAACAGGGAATCTATATACACATGGGATTCGTTTGGTGCAGGGGTCGGGTAGGGAAATTCTGATGCTGGGTTCCCCTCCGAACTTTGTATACAAGGCCAGACCTGAGTCGGGCTTGCTCGTCGGGAGGATCAAGTGTGGTGACGCGTGGTAGTGCATTTATGTGAATGGGGTAGGATGGGGTGGGCAATAACTCTCAAACGGCTCGATTGTCGAAGCTCAAGTTTGTTGCATGATAGCCTGGGAGCCGCCTAGTTGTCGCTTGACCTGCTCTCGGGCCCATCGGGCCGTGTCGATCGTACGAGACTGGAACTCCCTGTTGGTCTTGGTCTCCTTGATCATAGCAGTGATCCAATCTTGTCTGAAAGCTTCAACAAGCTCGCCGTTAGGGAAAGCATCGGCCAGGTCACTAATACCTTAGTTAGCACATGGTCTCAAGAGACAAAGTTAACGTGTGATCTTACCCAATAACTCCCATCGAAGATCGCATGAGAGATTCGCTGCGGTTCATATCTTGGGAGATGATGTTCAGCAGCTGGAAGATGGACTGCACATAGGGCTGGAGAGCTGGGGCTTTTCAATTATTAGTACAGACATACAAAATGGTCTTAGAATATAATATGGCTTACTCTTGCCGCTCAGCTTCATAGCACCGATAATGCCACCCCAGGCGTCCATAATACCTTCCCGTAGGGAAATGACGTAGTCGTAGAGCTCATAAGAACCGTCGGGAGCAGCTGTCACGGTCGCGGCCTGTTGTAGGACCTGGGCGACGACAGATAGATATGTCTCGAAATGCCCGCCAATAGCATTGGCAATGTCGCCAAAGCATTGTAGGATGGCGGGCTTGAACTGGTTTGAGAGGGTCGTACTCTGCACCTGATTTGTTAGACTTATCGTTCAATAGATGATCAAATGTATACAGATAAATTTCAAGCAAAAATTAGGAAGTATGAGAAGAGACAAACCCTTAGATTGTTTAAGAGGTAGTTCATGAAGTTATCGCAGTACGGTTGGCTGCGCTCGCCCATCGATCGAGTTATGTCGCTAACCAAGCCAATGGCCATAGAGCAGAGACTGGGTTCTTCTTGGTTTCCGAGTGCGTTATATAAGAACGGAGTGAAAGCATCCATGTACTTGACGAAATCCTCTTCCATCGCGTTCGCCAACCCACTTATCGTGGCGAAGATCGACTCGGGGACGCTGGACTTGGCTCCAGCCGTGCTAAGAATCTGAAGCGAGACCTGCATAATCCTGTCTCCCTGAGGAGATATTTCCTTCTCTAGTCGCTGGATAATTGACTGTAGGACGGTGCTCAGGCTGGTCTGCATTTCCTCCAATGCAATCTTGTCTTCTATGCTGACGACCTGGTTTTGAAGGGGGATGGTCTCTTCAAGTCGCTTAATAATCACATCGGAAAGTTGGGCAATAGCCGGGAAGCTCTCCGTCGCGGCATGCTGAACGAAAGCGCTGAGAACCTCGTAAGAAGTGGTGCGAACTGAGGTCTCTATGTTCGGCTGCGAAGTGACAGCTAGGAGGTTTTGAACACTCTGGTTAAAGTGAGGCGTGATAGGGTTGGAAGTCGCGTCAAAGTCTCCAGAGAAGCGTTCTGCCAAATTCATCAAAGCCCAACAGCAAGACGCTGCCATCTTAATGTCGTGGACACCGGCGAACAGAGACCGAATTAGAGGGTCTAGGTGCGTGGTAGGATCAATAGCTTGCGAGCAGGCATCCGTAATGCGTCCGAGGGCGTATGCAGTTGAGTCCTTAACAAATGTAGAGCTGTCCTCCATCATGCTGATCAGGATAGGCAAGGCCTGCTTGACGATAGGCTCGAGGACCTTTTCTTCGGGCCCTTCCATGATAGCTCCGAAAGCAGCCACCGCGGCTTCCCGGAAGTGCCAGTCTTCAGATCGAAGGTGCTGCTCGACAAACTGAATGACCGGTTGAATGATGTTGGCTCCGACGGCTTGGGCATAAAGCTGGAGACATTGGTATGCGGCTCGTGACAAGTTATACTCGTCATCTGTTGCATCCTCGTCTTGCTTGGTAAGAAGTTGCAGCAGAGCAGGCACAACTTCATTAGTCGCAACTCGGGCGAAGTTGTAAAAGGGGCGCATCTGATCGGCACTATCAACCTACACAAAATTTGTCAGCCAGCTATAAGCCCAACACGGACTATGGCGACATACCTGCGCGTTATCCTCCTCTATGTTTATCTCCTCTTCACACACGGTACTCCAGAATTCCACGGCAAGCTTTGCAACGTCCTCGTCATCGTTCTTCATGCCCAGAATCGTCAGACCAAAAAGGGCCTTCTCCATGTAGTAACGCATATTCTCGTAGTAGAGACCCATTATGCGGTTGAGACAGCCGAAGGCACCCTGCTGTATGCGCGCATCATCGGCTTGGGTAGCCTCGCAAACAACCTGCATGATGTAGTTTCTCTCACCTTCGTGCTTGAAGTTGTTACCAACGAACTCGAGAGAGTCGCCAAGTGCGCTTATGGCAGAGAAACGCACTTCCGCGTTCGTCTCTTCCTTGCGCGCACCTTGGACGACAGCGGTAAGAATGGCATTAGAGTGTCCGATCAAGGCAGTTCGGAGCTCGGGATCCTGACTTTCGCAAATGTAGCCTATACAGGTCAACGAGGCTTGCTTCTGATGAGGCGCGCCTGCGCTAACATTTTGAACCAAGACCTGCAGAAGATCTGGCCATTGGTTCCTAGGAAGTTCAATAGCGGCGATAGCGGCGATAACCTGAGCGGAGGCTTGACCAGCTTGCGCGTTGCCAGAGGAAAGTGTCTGGATGGCGAGCTCCTTGACGCGATCCTTGGTCTCTTGATCGGTCTGTTGTAGCCATTTGAGCTGTAACTCGTTTTGTCGGGAAAATTCGCGAGCACTGAATGCGTTCTTCAAGGCTAGACCCGCAGCGACTCTGATGTTGCCTTGGGCACTCTCGTCTGCCAATGACTGAACTAGGGTCGCCAAATACAAGGGCTAAAAGCAAAGGGGATAGGTCAGCTACGGTCGATCAACTCATCAATTAACCAACGATGGCAACTTACAAAATTATTTTCGGCAGCTTGGGTTAACTGTTGCTCGGCACCGGTTCGCGTAGCCGCGTCTATGGGGAGAGGGGCGAAGGATTAGCATAGAGCTCAGTAAAATATGACGTGTAGGTACGAGTGTAGTTACGAGCACGCGAGGCGCTTGACAGTTTAACAGTCAGAACGTCGAGAATCTTGGGAATACATACCTGGCGACAGCGAGTTGCTGAGAACAGTGTTGATATCACTGTTGTCAGCCATATTTTCTGCGCGACCGACCTTTTCGTCTTCTTTTTCAAGTGGATTCCAGGGTGTTGGAT